CCAGACAGCAAGATGTCTCTGTCAATTCTAGAACTTTGGAAGTTGCTTATAATGTACTTCCTGTTTACTTAGGATATTATATCCTTCTGGGGTCTTTGATGGGATTGAAGACTATAGTTATAACTATGGCTTTCCTTGGTTATGATAAGATAAATTAGATATGAATAACTTATAGGTTTTAAAACCACAAAAACAACAACAGCAAAAAACCAGTATTATAAAATTTGAAAACGCTCACACTAGTTTTAAGCTTCAGGTCCTCCCCTTTAGAAATGGCAGTGTGATAAAGCCTGTATTTCCTGAAAGTAAGTAGTGCTGACAATGACATATGGCTGGGGAGTCTTCCAAAGAAATGGCTCCGCACAGCCTTCCCCTGTTCTTTTCTCTGCCTTTTAAGGTCACAGTAACACGACAGAAAATCTGGGACGCACACCATCTGTCCAGACAGTTCCCTCACTGCTCACTTCTCCGCTAGTCAGAGAACTTCACACCTCCCAACACTGTACTATAAAGAGCAGCGGGAGTGAACACAAGTGGTCTCTACCCAGAACGCGCTGCTGAGATGAACACTTCTTCTGAGGACTGTTCTCAGATCACACCAAGGAGAAGAAACATTCACCCTTGACAGGAGACCTAAGACAAAAGACTGGCACTTTGACATGACTTCCCGAAAAACAGATGTAGTGACTTCATACCGAGCTAAGGACGGCACCTAATCTGAATTTCTCACAAGATGATGAAAAGGATCCCTTTTTCTCACTATTACTGTGCTGGTACTAACACCAGCTTAATAGCGTTCTGGACATCTTGACACTCTTAAAATCCTTTTCATACAATACTATCTTTAGTCCTTAGAACAAGGCTGCATGGCAATGTCTAACAGTATTTCCACTCTGAAGTGGAGAAACTCTGTAGAGAACTTAACTAAACATTGCTGCAGGCAGGCTGCACTTGTAACATGTACAAGTGTGATTTAAAAGCTGGCTCTAGGATCTTCTTTTTTTTTCTTTTTTTTTTTTTCACCATTTATCTGAAACAAACTGGGGATTGCTAAGAATTTTAGAACAGAAATCAACTGAATCAGGAAAACATACTTAGGCTCACACACCTTCCTTAGACTTCTTCCTGTTTCCTTTGTCCATTAAGTGCCCGTCTACTTTGTTTTCCAAATTCATGTGCTTTTTATAAATAATATTCTAAAGGCATATTGTTTTCATTTTGGCTTATTTTGATCTTTTTTTAAAATTGTTTTTATTGAGCTATATATTTTTTCTCTGCTCCCCTCCCTTCCTTTCCTCTCCCCTTCTACCTTCTTCCATGATTCCCATGCTCCCATTTTCTCAGGAGATCTTGTCTTTTTCTACTTCCCATGTAGATGAGATCCATCTCTCTTAGGGTCCTCATTGCTGTCTAGGTTCTCTGAGATTGTGATCTGTAGGCTGGTTTTCTTTATGTCTGAAGGCCACTTCTGAGTGAGTACATGTGATACTTGTGTTTCTGGGTCTGTATGATCTTAATATCTATGACACGCTATCTTACAAGGAAAAAACTCACTATACATTAATTTTGGAATTTCTATCATATTTCAAATAAATAAGCTGTAAACATTTTCAACAGCAACTGTTACTTACTGTGCTGGATAGTCTTATGTCAACTTGACACAAGCCTAAGTCATCTGAGAGCAGGGAGCCTCAATTAAGAAAGTTCCTCCACAAGATCAGGTTATAGGTAAACCTATAAAGCATTCTCTCATTCTCTCTCTCTCTCTCTTTCTCTTTTGTTTTTTGAGATAGGGTTTCTCTGTAGCTTTGGCCTTGTCCTGGAACTAGTTCTTGTAGACCAGGCTGGCCTCAAACTGACGGCGATCCACCTGCCTCTGCCACCACCGCCCGGCTGTAGGGCATTTTCTTAATTAGTGATTATGGGGGAGGGCCAGGTCCATTGTAGGTGGGGCCATCCCTGGGCAGGAGGTCCTGTGTTCTGAAAGAAAGTCGACTGACTGTAAACTGCTTTTATTATGCTTAGGTATGTCCCTTGTATCCCTGATTTTTCCAGTACTTTAACGTGAAGTGGTGTTGGATTTGTCAAAGGGTTTTTCAGCATCTAATGAGATGATCATGTGTTGTTTTTTCTTCCTTTCAGATTGCTTATATGATTGATTACATTGACAAATTTTCATATGCTGAACCTTTCTTGCATCTCTGGAACGAAACCTACTTGATTATGGTAGATATTCTTTTTGATATAATCTTGGATTCCGTCTGTGAGTTTTCTATTGAGTATTTCTGCATCAGTGTTCATGAGGGATATTGGTCTATGATCTCTTTGTGAATTTTTGTGTGGGTACACTAAACCTGATAGAAGAAAGAGTGGGGAATAGCCTTGAATGCATTGGCACAGGGGACAACTTCCTGAACAGAACGTCAATAGTATAGGTACCAAGATCAATAATTAATAAATGGGGCCTCTTGATATTGAGAAGCTTCTGTAAGGCAAAGGACACCATCAATAGGACAAAATGGAAGCCCACAGAATGGGAAAAGATTTTCACCAACTCCACATCTGACAGAGGAGAAGTATCCAAAATATATAAAGAACTCAAGAAACAAATCAAATAATCCAAATAAAAAGTAGGGTAGAGATCTAAACAGAGAATTCTTAACAGAGGAATTTCAAATGACAGAAACAGCTAAAGAAAAGTTAAACAACCTTAGTCATCAGGGACACACAAATCAAAACTATTCTGAGAGTCCATCTAACACCTGTCAGAACGGCCAAGATCAAAAACATAAGTAACAGCTTATGCTGGAGAGGATGTGGAGCAAGGAACACTCCTCCATTGCTGGTGGGAGGGCAAACATGTACAGCTACTTTGGAAATCACTATGGCGGTTTCTCAGAAAATTGGGAATCAATCTATTTCAAGATCTAGCTATATCACTCCTGGGCATATCCCAAAGGCCACTCCATCCTATCACAAGGACACTTGCTCAACTGTGTTCATAATAACTTTATTCATAATAGCCAGATACTGGAAATAACTTTGATGTCCCTCAGTCAAAGAATGGATAAAGAAAGTGAGGTACATCTACACAACGGAGAGCTATTCGGCTGTTAAAAATAATGACATCCAGAAATTTGCAGGCAAATAGATGGAACTAGAAAAAAAAAAAACATCCTGAATGAAGTAACCCAGGCCTAAAAAGACAAACATGGTGTGCACTCATTTATAAGATGTTAGCTGTAAAGCAAAAGACAATCATGCTATGGTCCACAGACCCAGAGAGGCCAAGTAACAAGAAGGGCCTGGGTGGGGGGGGGAGGTGAGACAGAGGACAGAAGAATCTCCCTGGGAAGGGAAAATAGAATAGATTTTACAAGAGGACTGGGGTTGGTGGGGTTGGCAAGAGGAGGAATTAGGTGTGTGTGTTGGGGGGGGGGATACTTAAGAGAAATGACTGCAATTGGGGGCATGTTGGGGGCAAGGTAGAGACAGTAGAATGGAAACTTCACAGAATCTACAAGAGTAACTCTACCAAAGAGAGACCCCTAGTAATGGGGAACACAGAGCCTGAGCCAGTCCAGTCATCTTCTGTAACCAGGAAAGGCCTCAAATAGAAGGATTGGGACACCAATCCAGTCACAAAACCTTCAACCTACAGTTTGTCCTGACTACAGAGTGTTCTGGAACTGAAGCCTAGCAGAACCTTCATCAAAGAGACCAGTGCACAAAGTCAACTGACCAGGACTCCCGGGGGCTTGCAGAGATCAGGGATCCTGGAGGGGCCTGACCTGGGCCTTCTGCATATATGTCATGGCCGAGTAGCTTGGTATTCCTGTGGTATTCCTAAAAGGGAGAGTGGGGTTAGCTCTGACTTCTTTGCCGGATTGTGGGACCCTTTTCTTCCTACTGGGTCAGCCTTGCTTGGCTTTGATGTGATGGTATGTGCCTGGTCTTACTGTAGTTTGTTATGTCCTGTTTGGTTGATGCCCCTGGGAGGCCTACTCTGTTCTGAGGGGAGATGGAATGTGGGTGGGCTTGGAGGAAAGGACAGGTGGGGGAGGGAGGGGAAAACTGCAGTAGGAATGTAACGTATGAGAGAATAAAGGAAAAAGCTAGCTGAGTAAGAAGCCAGTAAGGAGCACCCTCTATAAACCCTCTACAGCCTCTGCATCAGCTCCCACCTCCAGGTTCCTGTCCTTCTTAAGTTCCAGTCCTTCAATGATGGACTAGAATGTGGAGGCGGAAGCCAATAAACCCTTTCCTCCCCAGCTTGTGTTTTTGTCATGGTTCTTCACCATAGCAACAGCAACCCAAACTAAGACACACATAGAATCACTGATTTACTTATTTCTAGGCATATTTAAGATCTTATACTACTTCCACTTTGTTTCTGCATGCACACGTGTAGGTGGGTAGGGTACAGCAGGCTGCATCTGTGCAGCTCAGAGGGCCATTCCTGCGAGTCGGTCTCTCCTTCCACTGGAGGTCCCCAATGAGCCAACTCAGGTTGTTAGGCTTGGCAGCAAGTGTCTTATCTGCTAAGCTACCTTACTGGCCTATTTCTCTCTGTCTGAATTGTAGAGTGTGTTGTCATAAAGCTAAGTTGTTTTTATAATTAACAAAAGTTTCAAGAGTATGTTCTAGGATCAGAGTCAACTACGGGATAGTTTATAACTTCCAGAAGGTTTGGATTACTTCCAAATCTCCAGAACAAATTTACTTTTTACTCTTCAGAAGAAGACTCAGGGACCCAAGAGAAACAGCATTGTTAGATTGCTGTGGTAACTCAGGGCCTTGATCACGCCTTTGATTGACAGCCTTGGTGAGACTCCCTTCTCTCAGACCAGCTCAGAGCAAGCGCTCCTGAGAACCTCCCAGGACAGCTGGGTTCCCGGTAAGCTGAGAGCATGTTAGCTGCTGGTGGAACCTTGGGGGACTTTCTCCTTTCTGAAACTGCTCCCATCGCCCCAGTTAGTAAGTACTTATCTGATTCATACTTAAACTTTTTTCCTGTTTTGGCCTGAGTGCCTCCGTTCCACATATGGTCAGTCTCTTCATAGAAGAAAAAAATGTCAAGCTTTACATCATCCTGTCCCTGAAAGGAGAGCTCCAAGCTGTCTTCCACCTGTAGGGAAAAGGAAAACCTTCACAGCCGAAACAGCAGAAATTCATCTTCATATTTAATAAGGAAAAATGTTTTATATAGTGAGTATTAATTTTAGGATGCGTGCTTTTTAAACCTAAATCCCTGTGAAAGTGGGATACTACAGTGGCTTTTCTTAAGCGCATATAAAATCAGTTTCTTAAACTGACGACAACACATGAGTAAACACCTCATGGTAGCTAACACTGTCCCTCTGCGGGGGATAGTGAAGCACCATATTGCAGAGCCCCCTTCTAACTATATGAGGAAACGAAAGGAAACTTAGCGTAAAAGTAAAGTTCACATCGGACTGGTGCATGTGTCTTCAACAGCACCACATAGTCACTTTTGTGACCCTCAAGGGGACGAAGGCTAATGCACCCGTCTGTGTGTCCCACTGCAAAGCATGGTGCCAGACAGCGGCCAGCAGTGGCGAGGATCTGCCAAGGCCGGAAGCTACTGCATCGGCATCAGAAAACTCTCACTATTTTTAAAAAAATAAATTAGAAAGATTACTTCTGATGGGGAAAAATAATTTTCCGGGAATGGAAAAGATTTTAACTTGCTCTGTAGGTTGCTGCCTCCCTGGGGACAAACGAAGAGCAGGGTTATCACAAAGGATCACGTGCTTTCTGAAGGGCACTCGAACTGTCGAGCTCATCTCGGCCACCGCGCCCTTGCCCACGTCAGCCTCTGAGAAGTTGTTCACCTCGGCACACAGGAGCCAAACAAGAAACTCCAGCACTTGTTACACGTGGCTCCGTATCTCTGTCCTTAGCGATCAACGGGACACCTGTGCTCATGATTAGTATGACATCTAATCCGAAGTGAGCATTTAATTAGATGACTCGGAAAAAGTGTAACTTCAAATAAAGTAGGTGGGATTCTATCTTTATATTAATTTTATACCATACTATGGCATAACAGAATGGCAATACTAAGAACCCAAGTCTTCCAGGCGGTGGTGGCACGTGCCTTTAATCCTAACACTCCAGGGAAGAGGGGGGAAAAGAGCTCTGTAAATTCAAGGTCAGCCCACTCCTGCCTCAAGGGGGAGGGATAAAAACAAACAAAAAAAAAAAACAACCAAACCAACCAACCAAACAAAAAACCCGATTCTCTTTTCATCATTATTAATAAAAGGCCATGTTTCTGAACTTTTACTTAGTAGTACAGAAATGTTAAGGGATGACAAGCTTCCCCAGCCCATCCTGGGAAGTGCTGCCATACACCTTGAATTACATATAAGCTAAGGTAAACTTTACAACTAAGACGCAGGATTAATGAAACTAAGTGGATTGTCACCAACCTTCCCAAACTTGTGTTTGAGTGGAAGTCCCGCATTCTGAAATGCCAAAATAATATCAGGTTTGTAATCTTGTATGAAAATTCCTAGGTCGACATCTTTGCTATAAGGGATAATACTGCATTGCCGATACCATCCTAAAAGGGGGGGGGGGGTAGGGGATAAAAATGTTTAGATTATATTTGGAAAATTGGCTATCACCATGAACTAACTTTATAGTAATGGCTATACTAAAGAACTTGGTTATAGTAGTTACCTTGAAGAGTCAATTCCCTCCCCCACAACCTCCCACCCCTGTTTGAGTGCTCAGCTTCCTCAACAGTTTTGATGAAGTCAGACATAGTGGCTGACACCTTTAGTACACAGTGAATTTCAGAAGAGCCAGAGATACACAGTGAGATCCCGCATTAAAAAAAAACAACAAACAAAAAACACGTTTTCAGGATACAAAATAATTTCCAAATAGATCATTAGCTTTAATAATATGTTAATTAAGCCATCCACTTAAACAATTGCTGTTCAGTGTTTAATCATTAATGTTTAATGATTGAGACTGCTTAAAGATGCGCTAAGAACATTTAATTCTGTTAATATACTTTCCTGAGTCCATAATCTATAGCACTTAAGAGCTCCCACAGCTCCTAACTGACCGGGCACATAAACAATCTGGTTAAGGTGTGATATTCAGTGCACACCCAAGGCAGTTTCTCAGTGCTTCCTGTGTGTCGACATCCTGCTTAGGTGCCCCGACAGTGTTCTAAGAAAGCTGACTCCCGAACATCACTAGTAACTCCCAAGTCTTCCCAACTAGCTTCTAATCTTCCCATTCCAATGAGTTTGAAAATATGTAAGTGTCTACAGTTATCCCAGTAGGCACCGCTATTATAAAAATGAAGGGTCTGCTGGGTGTTGCAGCTCTCAACTCAACACTTAGGAGGCAGAGACAGGCAGATCTCTGTAAGCTCAAGGCCAGCCTGATCTACATAAAGAGTTCTAGACCAGCCAGGGCTAAATAGTAAGACCTTGCTTAAAATACAAAAAACAAAAAAATTAAAAAAAAAAGATTAAAAAACCCCATCAAAACCTAAAAATAAAGGGGTCTTTAAATATCAGTTACTACACAGTATCAAATATAACTTTCTTGTTTTGTAAATGAAATAAAGCATGTAGTTAAGAACTCAAATCACAACAAATGACTACACAGTTTTGGTTACTGACTACAAAAACAAACATGCTCCTAAAAAACAGTTTAAAAGCCAATAAGCATTCACAAGTGATTACTATGTATTCTTTCATGCTTTTACTGTTTGGTGGTTGAGACAGGGTGTCACGGTCCCCAGTCAGGCTTTGAATCTGCTAGGCTGCTATGACCTTGAATTTGTGAGCCTCCCTCCTGCCTCTTCCTCCGCCTCACCAAGTCTAAGCACCTAATCTTCACCCAGTCCAGTGTACAGGACAGCCACGAGTCCCAGGCTGCACCCATTGCACACGCATACTTACTGAAAGCGTTTCCTCTCAGTCTAAAGTATCCTCAACTGGAAAATAAATTCTACAGTAACTTTTTAAAAGTTTTACTAACTGGAATTAACTTTTGTACAAATACAGTCACAACCAAAAAAGAAAAAAAACACAGATACAATTATAATCAACTACAATAATAATTGAGAAGGAACAGAAAAAAATAACAATCTTAAGGATCTAAGTAATTCTAAAGTCCAAGAAGCTGATGTAATGAATGGTGCATCCAGATACCTTGTTCAGATCCTAAGAGCTGGCTGCTTCAAACTGCAAAAAGTGTCTTTTCCTCTCTCGGGTAAACAGTGATGCCTAACTAGAGCCACTCTCAATGACGTGGAAAACTTATGGACCTTAAGCAAGCCTGTCAATCTTCCGCTCACTGGAAATGTTTCCTGCAATATTTAATTTAAAGCAGTCATAATCTCTGAGACAATAATAGTAAAATGCTAATTGAAAGATTACCTGAAAGCCAAATATAATCTACATGTCTGATGTAAATTTGTACACATTATTATAACTTTTAGTAAATACAAGTGGCCTTACAATTCTATTTTATAGGGCTGGAGAGATGGCTCAGAGGTTAAGAGCACTGACTGCTCTTCCAGAGGTCCTGAGTTCAATTCCTAGTACCCACATGGTGGCTCACAAGCATCTATAATGGGACCTTCTTCTGGCATGCAAATGAGTACATGTAAATACAAAAAAATATAAATAAGTCTTAAATTTTATTTTGTATTTCATCAATTACTTTCTTTAAAGGAGTCAACACATCTTTGCTTCATACATTAATATTTATTCTGCTTATAAATATTATAGTTCCAATATTACTGATGCTTGATCACTTCAAACATTCACTCCTAAAGCCAAAAGGATGAGATAGAGATACAACGTCAAAGCATTTTTACCTAGACAGGTTCCACTGCTCAGCCAGAAGGGCACTCCCAATTCCTTCAACGTTCTGGCTGCTAGTTGCAGCAACTCCTTCGCCCTCTTCCGAAAGGCCATAGCATCCACAGTGTTATCCTCAAGGTACTGCTGCAAGTTGAACAGTTATCTATTATAACACTTCCTAAACTGCTAGAAACATTTCCCTGATATCTGAATTAAACTTGGCTATTATATCTTTTTTCTATTGCAAAAAAAAAATTCCAAATTTCGGGGGCTTGGGTGGGTCAGCGGGTCAAGTGTTTGCTATGTGAGCATGAAGTCTGGATGTGGATTCCCAACACCCATGTAAAGGCTGGAGGTGTTGGTGTTGCTACATGGGTGGGAGAGGACAGAGACAGACAGATCTGGAGCTCCCTCGCCAGCCAGACGAGCCAATCCACCAGTTCCAGGTTCAGGGAGAGACACTGCCTGTCTCAAACACTACGGTGAAGAAGTTGTGGGCTGCGGCTAACTTGCTCAAACTGGTGGATGGCCCCACCCATGTGCCCGTAGGAAGCACTAATGAGCGTCTGTGGGTTATAAGACAGAAGAAGACATGAAAATGGAGAGGAGTATTTTGGGCAGGAGTACAGGGAACCTAGGAGTGGGAAGACACCCAGTTCCAACCTGTGGCTTCACAGACAAATGTGCCCACTTATCTACACACAGGCACACATGCAGATGCCCCTCAAGCCCTGAAATCAAAGTTCATAGTTGGTTACTTCTTAGTTACACATTAAAATAATTCAAATAGATTCTAGGAGAAGCCAGTTTAAAGGAAGAAATATGAAGAGCTAGGGTTCCCCAATGCTGAGACTTCTGAAACTGCTAGCAGTTTCCTCTGTCCATCAGAACTGAGCGGACTGGGAAGTTGGGAGAAAGGAAGAGCTAATTACAGAGCTAGAAACATTCTCTAAGCAAAACAGATGAAATGATGTTTTAGATGCACAGCCATGCACTTGTCTTTAGAGACTGGGTAATCAAGCAGGAAGATGCGTTCTGAATCAGACCATCTGTGTTGGGCTCAAGGTCCATTGATGGAGGAAGGTCATTGGCCAATAAAGAAACTGCTTGGCCCTGTGGGTGGAGTAAACAGAACAAAATGCTGGGAGGAAGAGGAAGTGAGGTCAGAGTCTCGACATCTCTCCTCTCCGGAGCAGACGCCTGAGAGAGACGCCATGCCCCTCTCCCGGGATGAGCCATGCCCCGCTCCCGGGCAGACACACGGCATGAAGCTCCAACCCAGGATGGACTAGGCTAGAATCTTCCTGGTAAGACCGGTTCTCACAGATTATTAGAGATGGGTTGATCGGGATGTGAGAATTAGCCTGTAAGTGCTAGAGCTAAAGGGCCAAGCAGTGCTTAAAAGAATACAGGGTCTGTGTAATTATTTTGGGGCATAAACTAGCCGAGCAGGTGGCCGGGGTGCTGGGAATGCAGCCCCGCCGCCCTTATTACTTCAGTCCATTTCCTTTTAGATGGGCAGGCTATTTCACAAGCGGGTAAGCTCTATGAGGAGGGGACGTTTGTTTGGGGTACTGTATAAAATACCCCAGCGTCTAGAGCAGCGTCTCTACACTTGACAAACGAACAAGAGGATGGAAGAAACGATGTTCACCGTGGTCAGTGTCCTCATTTGTAACTTAAAGGTGACACCTAGGCATCATAGAACTACTTCACAGATCGGAATCAAAGCCCTTTTGTAGAGTGTAAGGATTTATACTAATGTTATCCTTTACTTAGTCATTTTACTTTCCTGATTTTACTACCTTTTATTCTGTAACTGAAGAAACATCATGAATTCCTCAGTGATATTTCGCTATAGAACAAAACAGAAACTACTTGGCCTAGCAGACCAGGGTCTCTGGCTACCGGTCTGACCTAATCACTAGCCTCTTTCTACATGCCCAGTTATAGTAATAAAATTAAACTTCTCTAACATGCCACAACCTTCCTACATTATGTGACCTTATATGTTCCTTTTTTTTCAGTATGCCTCTGATTAACAAAGTCATGTTTCAGATCCACCCTCTGAGAAATATCCTGGTTTCCCTAAAAAGGCAGATGAGTTTGTTTTCCCAGTGTTTCCATTCAACATTTGCTAATTTATACATTTATAATACAAAAAGCCAAGTAAAACAGCTCCTCCAGGAACTTACAACAGTTACCACCTACATAGATTTTTAAAGTCTTTAAATTTTTCTACTGTTTTATGTATATGGGTATTTTGCCTGCACGCATATCTGTGCACGATGCACCGTGCACATGCCTGGTGGCCGTGAAGGGAAGACGAGGACATCAGATATCATAATAGAGTTATAGACGGTTGTGAACTGCCATGTGGGTGCAGGGAATCAAACCTAGGTCCTCTGGAAGAGCAGCCAGTGCTCTGAACTACGGGGCTATCTCTCTAGCACTTTTTAATTCTTGTATTTAGTTGTAACTGCTGGGTGTGCTTCAGTTTCCTGAGTGAGGCTGTAAACTTGTGAGAGCAGGCACTGCATTCTCCCTCCTTGAATCTATAGCTTTGGAATGCCTCCCCCCAGCCCGTACACAGTAGGCAAGCAACAAATACTGTTGAGCGGCTAAATGAAGAAACGACTAATTCCAACAGTATCCCAAAGGATCGTGTGACTGCTTCCCCCCCCCCCCCCCCAATACAGCAGGAGAGAATATATGTCCCTGGGACTATAAGGAACAGAATCGCCGTATGGATCTTGAGGGAAGAGTGTCCTGTGACAGAAAGTTCCCTGCAGCAAAGCGGCTTTTATGGATAAATAAACTGTACAGGACATCCTGAAATAAAACATCCCTTTCCTTAGTCACTACTTTTAGAGCACACAATGGAAAGAGAGGGCCATACCCTTATGCCTGCTGTAAGAGAGAATGCCTAGCGCTAAACGTGTAGAGACCAAATGCTAAGCCAGTAATGACTGTCAGTGTTCAAAAGCATCTTAAAGCTACAGTTTCCCCTCTGTTAAAGAACACTTGCCCTTCAAGCTGTTGGTCAGGAATCAAGAAGCTCCCAAAACAATATAAGATATCATCTTTGGTTGTATTCCAGAACATGAAGGTAAATAAGACCTTATTGCTGAAGACTCTACACGCTTCAGACATGGGGTTTAGCAGAATCAAGCTAGAAATGAAGACCTGATCATGGGTGCCTATCTCTTGTTAATGCATCTACAACACAATCTTCCTATTGAAGTCTCAGGAAACATGATGGAAAGGCAGAAAGATGCTAAAGGTGAAAGGACCACGATGTCTGCTATGATAGAATCCTCTATAGATAGCAGGGATATGCATCTACAAATCTTAATGATATGGTCATCTAAACAAGCCCTGTACAATGACAGCACCAGCCGACATTACAGTGTGGATGGGGGACTTCTACAAGGCCTCAGCTCCTAGATGAAGAGCTACAGGCAGCTAATAGCTGCTAAGAGGGAGACCATCCATTTTCTCCAGTAATGGGTCCCCTGATAGGGTATCCAGTGTTGTTTAGTTAGATCTTACAACTTAACCGGACTGGGGAGAATGATTAAAATTTATAGATTGCAGCAAACAGGTCCCTGTTAAGAGAGAGCCTGTGTACAGCAAAACCCAAACAGTAACAGGCATGCTACCTATTGTCCAGACCTTGCTTTCTACAAGGACCCATGACTCAGAGAAATGCCTGAACAAATGGCGGGGACAAGAAAAGCACAAGATAAACGTAGAGTATCTATATTTTGCTAAAAATGAAGAAAGCTGGAGATAAGCAAAAGACACAGAAGCTGTGGTGAAGTGTTTTCCACCAGCCAAACATGCAACAATCTGAAAATTAAAATAAGGATAAAAGTAAGGGGCTATAACTCATTAAAACAGGAAGCCGTGAGTTTCTTATTTAAATAATAAATTTGATGAGAAATGTTAGTATTTACATAGCTGCAAAGTAATTTGCAAATAAACATTTCTAGTTACAAAGGGGAAAATGCAAAGTCGCAAAAGCATCTACGACTTGATTAAATGGATGAGGTGACCGCCAACAGTGCTCTGGACTTAAACATTGCCACCAGAGGGAGAATGGAGGCCACAGGACTCTGGAAGTCCCCAAAGCTGCAAGATTCATAGACTTTGCCCCAAGGCTATCAGGTGGGGACACTGCTGGCGCTATCTGGGAACTGTGGAAGAGCTCCTGCTATTCAGCTTTTCTGACTGTCACTCACACAGAGATGAACTTCTTGATGATGCTTAAAACTGGTCTTGCTAGATGCCTTAGTAAGTCTTGAACTTTTGGTAATCCTCCTGCCCTGATTTCCCAAATGTACAAATTACAGGCATGGGCTACCACATATAGTTAGATTGAGATGAAAAGCAATGTATGTTAATTTTTGATTTTTATATTCAGATATAGAGAATACTCTGGTTTTTAGAAAATACTAAGCTATTTGAGGTTTCAGGATGCTGTTCTATAGCTCACTCTCAATTGTGCCACGAAACAAAACCAAACCAAACCCGTGTATTGTAACTGTTATGTAAGTCTGATACTGCTTTTAAAAAAATATTATTAAAGTAAATGAGAAAGCTAGGGGCTACTTTACCAGTTTTATTTTAAAAATCCTTTTAAATTCATTGCTATAACCATACCGTGCATTTCATTTCATTTCAGACTGTTTGGCGCCATCAAGTGTTTAAACGAGTGTAAGTTAACTTTAATTTGAAAATTTACTTATGGTTCTAACATAAGAAACAAAGAATGAAACTAGTAACAGGATAAAGATAAAAACATTCCCAAGCCTTTAGGTGATCCCCATCAGTAATAATATCAGCACCATGGCAGGAGGGAGAAACAAGTTGGGCATCACAATGACACGGGAGCAATTGACTGCCATGCATAAAATAAGGGGCCTGATATTAAGCCCACAGAATTTAAGAGTGTCTCACAGGGTGAGAGACACTAAGGGTTCACTGTGGTAACTGCTATGGCAGAGGTGGGCAATGCCCTTGGGGCAGGAAGCAGCAAACTCCATCACTTCTACTTCTTATTAGGCTGTGGTGGAGGCAGAGTTTGCCTACAGAACAGGCCTGCCCACACATGAGGCCTCTGCCTTCTCGCCCAGGAAGCTCAGGAGACTTGACAGTCCTATCGTAACTAATTCTAAGGAAGAGAAGGACCACTTGAGCTGCCAGGCTTAGGTCCTGGGCTTCAATGTATAACATCTGAAAGCCTTTGTATTTCAGTCGTGGATACTGGGCAGCAATATAGAAGGTAATACTCAGCTTCTCATTCGATTTATCCTAATTTGCTTCCTAATCGCTGTGATAAGCACATGATCAAAAAGCAACTTGGGGAGGGGTTTAGTTTACCTCACAACTCCCAGTCACAGCCCCTCCCTGAGGGCAGTCAGGAGAGGAACTCAAGGTAAGAACTGAAACACAGAGTTGGGTGGTGGTGGTGCACATCTTTAATGTTAGCACTTGGGAGGGAGAGGCAGGCAGATCACTGAGTTCGAGGCCAGCCTGGTCTACAGAGCAAGTTCCAGCCAGGGTTAGGCAAAGAAACCCTGTCTTAAAAAAACAATCCAAACCAAACCAAACCAAACCAAACAAACAAACAAAACCCCAAACTCAAACCAAAACCCAAACCAAAAAGGACTGAAGCCAAAACCATGAAGGAATGCTACTTACTGACTTGCTTAGCTCTCTTATACAACCCAGAGTCATTTGCGCAGACCCTCCCACATTGATCATTAGTGAAGAAAATGCCTGACAGACTTTCCTACAGACCAGTCTTTGGCCAGGGAACTCCAGAAATTAAAGGGCAAGTAGAAGAATTAGGGACCCAAATTCCCACAGTCAAACACTGTTTTCACGGGATCTCTGGTTTCATGTAATTGTCACAGCTGGACGTTTATACCCATCAAAATGGTTTGTGTATCACTAAAGTCAGAAGCCAGAAAGCTAGAACAGCAGAGGAAAAACTGAGAATTCAGCTGGTCTTTGTAGAGCACTTGTTTAACATTTTGCCAAACACACTCACACACTCATATTTAGTGCCAAATGTCTGACCAAAAAAAAAAATCCCTATTTTCATTAAGTCTTTCTAAAGCCACATGGTTTCTCTGCTGTGGTTATATCCTAAGTCATTTCTTAAAGAAAAAAAAAGCATTTTTAAAATAAAGCCTATGAGCTATCATAACTGTGGGATGAAGCCGGTGTTAATTCTATCAGGCTAACAAAACAAAGCAATAAATACATGGCCACTCCTCATTCAGGGAAGGAAAAGTGTGTGTGTGTGCCTGTGAAGCCCAGGGATTGCTTTCTAATTGAGACCTTTGGCCTTAGCTGGCCAGTGGCTGGGTTTCATACTTGCCATAATAGCCAGTAGAACTTATGTTTTCCTTTTTGAGATAGAGTCTTGTTGGCCCAGGCTGCCTCTGAACTCACTCTGTAGTGGAACATCACCTTCAACCCTCTGCCCCTTTCTCCCAAGTCCTGGGATTATAGGCACCTGCTACCACGCTTGTGGCGATGGAAATCAAACCTCAAGCCTTGTGCATGTCAAGCACAAGGGGGAAAAAAACGAAGGTTTTAACTTTAAATGAAAAGAAAAAAGGCAGGATGAAGAAAGATCAACTTACAAGATAATTTAACCTGTTTTGCATAAGCCATCTTCATTTTCTCTTACACACTAAACGAGGCGTAATATTCTCATTACTTTAATGTAGAAGTAATTATTTGGTTGTCTCTAACCTGAAGGAACGCCCGAGCTTCTTTATACCTGCACTCGATAAATCTGGAGCGTGGCACTTCTTCTAGAAAGTGTCCTGGGTCTTTTGGAATAAGCACATCTAGCCCATCAATAGTAACCTGCTGCAATTCTGGCCTAAAAACAAAAATTAAGATATACTATCAAGATTTAATCCAGAACACAGGCAGCCTTTTAATACAGTGAACATCAGCAAAGGAGCTAACCAGCAAATGAATTCCCTTCAAGGCTTCAGGTGCCAATCAGCAGCTTTATTAGGGCCTTGAAAATCCAACACCCAATAGCAACACAGAACCTTAGTTTTAAATATTTTTCACTAATGCAGCTAAATTTGGGGATGAGGGAGGAATGGCTCTATGGATTGAACCTAGGGCCTTTTGCATGCTAAGATTTTTGACAAAAATAACGGATGCAACACTGACAAGAGACTGTCTCTCAGAGCCCACTAATCACTCCTGGTCACTCCAGCTGTGAACATCCTCCCAGCCGTTTCTCACACGTGTGATTGTGATACTGAACACTATAAGGAAACAAAACTAAGCATACCTTACAGGTCTAAAGCATGACAAGCAGTATTTCCCTGAAAGTGCTCTCAAAAGGCTTTGACATGAAAACTCTTATAAGCATGATAAACTTTAAGGCAAAGGACAAACATTCAGTCTATATTTACGTCAGGTTCCAGTGCTCCAGACAGATTAAAGCATCATCGTTAATGACTTCCGATGAGAGAGAAAAGTACAACTGGGGTCAGAAAGCTGATGTTCACACGCGTCTCCTAAAGTGCCTGTTCTCGCCAGCAGTGTTTATTACTGTGATAGTTGAGGACAGAAGTCTACACTGAGTATTAATTTTAGTCCTGTGATTTGTCTTAGCTTTCTGAGGCAGGGTTTCACGATGACAGCCAGGTTGCCCTGCAACTCATTAGCTAGCTCAGCCTCACCTGCAGCTTGCAGCTCTCCTGCTTCAGCTCCCCGAGTGCTAGGATTTACATGTGTGAGTCACCACCTCAGGACCCAGGGAAAATACACACACACACACACACACACACACACCTAAGACATAAAGGCACAAAGTAATGAGTTACAAGCATCTGTGACTTCATCACAGACACTGCATCTTATCAGCTCCCCTAGAGGTCTCTGTGTATACCACTCAATAACTCCTTCTCTACTCTCTAGGGACACATTCTATCTTGTTAGTACCTTTATTCAATCTTAAATATGTCCATGAACACAGCATGACTATATACTATCATTCTTTTCTGCCGTGTTTGAGACACTCATTCACGCTGTTGCAGACTGGCAGCAGGTTTTCCTGAGGTACAATACTCCACTGTATGAGTATATATGCGTATATATAAATAGAAAACACATGATATTATTCATTCATTATTGTTCTTTGTTTTAGACTTACCTGTCAAAAGCTCCAGGATAACGACCAAACTGTAACTTTCGAAAAGGAACAAACTTTCTGTCCATGTGACCTCTGAGTCGTAGGTGACCATGCCAGAGGTAGTTGCCGCTCCGCTCATGAAACACCACCAAGTGGATGGCGTGAGTGGCCAGCCTACAAACATAGTGCAGGGGGATCTCAGTTCCAGAAAGTGAGTCTATTCCATCTAGCCGAGGATCTTTGCTTTCAATCTTTAGGCACTGAAATCCCATATTCTCAGCTATCCGAAACCAGCCATCCTAGAGTAAGACAAAGATCAAGCCTGAATATTTAAAACCAAACGCTAGTAACAAAACTAAAGCAACTGTTATACCATTACTTAAGACATATTTTTGTCTTAATTTGCTTTTTTTGCCAGAATGTTTTAAAAAATGAGAGTAGTAAACAGAAGGCAGTGCTGAAAGAATGAAGTAGCAAACAAAGGTTTGAGGAATATGTCTAAGGACTCTGAAGAGTAACGCAAACTTCTCCCCTAGGATGAGGAAGCTCACTTAGTGCTCTGGTAGTAGGAACAGAAAAAACAAACTGACAATGTTTATCTCCTAACACTTTCAAAATGCTCTAACAGAATTCCCACCACAGAGCAAACACCAGGAAACAGACTGCAACATTCTGTACACAATGAACATTTTCAAAAACTTTAGAATTTAAATCTCGTTTATCAAGATTATCCGATATAGAGAATTTGATGATTAAATATTATTATGAGTATCTGCTGGCCTAATAGATGTGTCCACATTACAACTCAAGCATCTATGCTTCAGGGAACACTGCAGAAGGAGGGCCCAAAAGACAGTAAAAGCCGGCATACCAGGAAACTTGCTGGGAAAGAAATGGCTGATGCAATTTTGTTTTGATTAAAAAAATTAAGAAAAAAAAAGACTATCTTCTGGATACAGTGGCCTGTGCAGAAAGTCTGTAAATTTGAGGCCAGCCTCAGCTACAGTGAACTTCTGATTCTTAAAGGTCTTGTATTTCACAGGAACTTATAATCTCCTAAGAGATTTTACATTTGCATTTGGATATGATACTCACCCTATAAAAGAAGTAGCATAATTATTATAGATAAGGAAGCATACTTAAAGACAACTTTTGAAACACAGGGAATAATACAGACAGCCACTTAATGTGTACCAAGTGCAAGTACACTGATAGCTCCTTTGCTGCCCACAGAAACTATGGTTTATAAGCACTGTATGCTTTTCCTATAAGGAAATTAAGCATTCCAACATGAATGAATGGGCAATACCGACATGTACAAATCTCCCTAGTGGATATTTGCACACTGATGCACCAGCAGTCATTCTATTGGGTTGTTTTTTTTTGTTTGTTTGGTTTTTTTTTTGGTCTCTTAAGACAGGGTTTCACTATGTAGCCCTGGCTGGCCTGAAATTAACTATATAGATTAGGCTGGTCCAGAACTCATAGAGATCTGTCATCTATGTCTCCTGAGTGCTGGGATTAACTAAAGGCATGCACCACCACCTCACAGCTCAGTTTCTTGTTCTTAAACATGAATAGAGATCAGAACATATTGCTGAAAACCTGTATCAGAAAAACACAAAAGCCAAAGAAAATGAATATGTCATTAAAACCTTTAGCAAAACACAAAGTATCAAGGAGTAAACTTTTAAGAAAAAAAAAATTAAAAACTTAATGACCTTTAGAGACAAAGGCAAAACCACTGCCATGAACAAAAGAGTGCAAGGACTTTGAGAAAACACACAAAACAACCAGACAAAACTACTAAATCAATAGCATTGTTAAGGCTTTTGGTTTTTATTTTTTTAAATAGAATGGTTGAAAAAAATCAAAGAACAAAAATAAAAAATAAAACGATCTCTTTATATGAGAACAGAGGACCAGGAAAAAGACAAAACACAAAATCAAAGACCCACAAATCCAACAAAGGAACAAAGAGCAGGAAAAGTGTGTGTATTAATTAGATCCTCCTTGAAAACATGGATGTCCCATTCCGTCCTCCCATTCTCCCACCCTGAGCACGGCTGTGACGGTCCTGGGGCACTAGGAGAGTGAGGACGATGGAATGAGGACGGAAATGGACCAAGAACTCCAGCCCTGGTATCAGTGGGAAGGCAAGCAAACACCAATGGCCACCATTATTTCAGCTTCTTACTAGAAAAGATTAAGTGCCTTATTTGCTCTAGGCTTTGTATCCAGTTATTTATAGCTAAAAATATTCCCAATACAATTTGCACGAAGAACTTTAGTGTTCTGCATTTTGAGTGGTGCAACCGTCTCCATTAGCTGCGGCAGCTGACTCACCTCGTTCTTCCATAGGTGATACTGCAGCGCAAACGCAGTGAAGTCTCGCGGAACACAGAAGAACCTGCAGTCTGAAGCAGGGCCCTGAGAAGTATTTTTCACTTGTTCAAAGTTTTTATTAATCAATTCCAGAATCCAAGGGTCGATAAGGAACACTGGCACATTTTGGCTGGATGTCAGCATAACAAATTTCTTAACTGCACGCTGTTGAGAGGAAAAGAATCTCTTTGATACCACTAAGTCAACATCATTTCCCCCCAGTACTGGGGAACTGAATCCAGGACCTCACCCATGTTAGGACAGTGCTCTGTCACTGAGCTCTAACCCCAGCCCTCCTGTAGTTTTCATTTTGAGAGAAGATCTCATTAAGTCACCTAGGCTGGCCTTAGACTCACTATGAAGCCCAGGCAGGCTTTGACGTTGGATTCCTCCTGCCTAAGATTCCCTATAGGTGTGATTAAAAGGCTTGGGCCACTAGGCCTACCTCATTACAACTTATTTTTGTTAAATTTTTGATCAATTAATTTTCTAAGAATTTACAGAGTGTCTACCCAATAGACATCATGCTTATCACTGCACTAGGAACACACAAATGAATAACACACATGGTTCTGTCCTCAAGAGGAGCACAGTCTACTAAGGAATTAAACAAATCGCTACAGTTCAAGATGAAATATGCTCCACAAAATGCAAACGACCCAGTGCAAAAGCAGGAAGCAAGGAATGGCCAGACATGTGGACGAATGCTTGGGACTTCAGCACTCCAAAGGTAGAGAACAGAGACGACACAAGGTTTGAGGAAATCCAGGGTATGCATAGAAAGTTCCAGGCCAACCAGGCTACACCAGGGAGATCCTGTTCTCAAAATAACAGCATAAACAAAACAAAACTAAGGAGCAAAAAAAAAAAAAAATCTAAGCATTCATAAAGACTATCTGCTCATTTTCCACAACACAGGCTCTCATATAACATGACTGCACTGTTTTTATTAGTAAATCAGCACTATCTTCAAATTTTGAAATTTGCTGTTGACACAGGGTCTCAAGAAGGCAGGCCGGCCTCTGTGTAGCTGAGGATGACCTTGAGCTTCTAGTCCCTGACACCTACCATATTCGGTTTACACAGTGCCCGTGCCGGAGATTGAACCCAGGGCCTCCTGTATGCTAGGCAGGCACTCTACCAACTGAGCTACATCTCAGCTCTGCCCTCTCAGTTCTGTTTTTGTGTTTAGTTAGGTAGAAAAAAAGAAAATGTATTTTTAAAATGTAGAGGTTCTGAAACTTTACAAAACAAAAAATCTAATGAATATATTATATTATCTGTTCCCCTCATCTTACAAAAGAAGCACTGAGATTTTTATTGCTGACTATTGATTTCCCTTTACATTCATAGCTCAATTCTGATTCATATATTCCTGCATTTGGGGAAGCATTACAGTTCAGCAGTCAAGAATTCTAGAGATGGAAAACTAAAATCTGGATTCAGATATTTACTAACTAACTACCTTAATCTCCCTGACGAGCTAAACAGAGAACATACATACTGACACTTCTAAGGTTTCCACAAGGACGGAATGAGATGTGCCATGTAAAGCACTAGGCATAAGGTCTACTCGTGTCCAAGGTCGTTACTGTCCTTGCCATCAATCAACAAATACTTGAGGAGTATATCAATGAATGAGCTAAAGATAGCACATTGTAACTGAGATATAAGTACATACCCACTGTGTGCTATCAAATCCAATTCGGTTTCCCTTGGATTTTGATGAGCCAGTTCCATTCTGGAAGAGAGCAGAAGAATATTTTGGTAAACTCACAGCCCAGCATCACTATCCATATGCTTATTTCATACTCAGAAGCAAAAAAAAAATCATATATTTTATAATACAATAATCCAAGGTACAAAACATTGACAGAATATAGTAAGTTACTGATAGTATTCATGGTATTCCCAGCATTTCTATATTATTATTATTATTTATATAATGTATTGCCTGCACAACAGAAGAGGGCACCATATCTCATTACAGATGATTGTGAGTGCTGGGAATTGAACTCAGGACCTCTGGAAGAGCAATCAGGCTCTTAACTTCTGAGCCATCTCTTCAGCACCTGGTTAGCATTTCTGAGCCCATTAATGTCCATCAAAAAATAGTATCAGCACTCACACTCCTATGCCTGTCTGTCAGCCCCCTCCCCCTGCCACTGGACAATGGTTTTGTACTTTGTAAAGATTTATCACTTGTATTGTTTTAATAAAATGCTGACTGACCATTAGCCAGGCAGGAAGTATAAGCAGGGCAACAAGAAACAAAAAAACAAAAAAAAAGAAAAATATAATAATGAGCAGATAACAAGTGTCAGGCTCTGCCCCCCCCCCATACTCTTACAGAACAACACTGTAAAGCAAAGTAATTATTTCTGGTTGAGAGATGGCCCCAACACTCACACTTTTCATAATGTGCAGTATTATTTCAAATGTTTTAGATTACTTGTAAGTTAACAGTTCTTTTTAAATGTTCAGGTTTGAAATGTCAGAAGGAAGAAAGTAATATTGTCATATTGTTCATATGATAAGCCCCTATCAATCGGAAACTAAATAGGAGAAAGAATGCTGGACGATCTAGAGATAAGAAGCTTTCAAGCTCAAAGAACTCTGACAACTCCGTATGCTTCCAATGTTTTCTACCTATGAGATATAAATAACAGAGGATGCTGACGGACAATTAGAATCGCCTCATCCTACAAACACAATGTGCTCAACAAAGGAGGCTCGTCCTTTATCAAACTGCACTCAAGGGCAGGTGCCAAGGCCAAGCTGCCTTTGTGTTACCATGTCTGGCCTAGTGCTTGGTTAAACAGATGTTAGTAAAAATTTGTTAACTGGAGGAGAACAGAAGGGAGGAAGAGTAATGAAGGGAGAGCCAGACTCAGTCTCTCGACAGATCTCTAACTTAGATGAGAGCAGTTATTTGAGAGAAACAGGCAACAAAAAATAAAAACAAAAGTAACTTTGATCCTCAGTCCTGACAAGTGATGGAAACTAGACTGTCATTTGTTTTTCACTCCAGCCCTATACTAGGAGAGGAACCTGCATCATCATCATCATTATTATTATTATTTGATTTTTCGAGACAGGGTTTCTCTGTAGCTTCGGAGCCTGTCCTGGAACTAGCTCTTGTAGACCAGGCTGGCCTCAAACTCACAGAGATCTGCCTGCCTCTGCCTCCCGAGTGCTGGGATTAAAGGTGTGCACCAGCACCGCCGGGTTGAACCTGCGTTTTAAGCTGCTGAATTGGTTGAGTTTAGAATAAGTAAATTTCTAGTGCGCTAGTAGATTGTTTTTATAGTAGTTTTATTGGAATTAAGATTATATATTATAAATTCTACCCTTTTACAGTGTATAGTTAACTGTGTTGGAACAGTCTAAAATTGAAGTCATTCGAGGGAAATTCTGAGTGTTTCTGAGAAGAGCCCAAGAAAGCAAGAGTCTTACAACCTTATTTTTTCAAAACACAGAATTATTCTTGGCATGTGTTCTCGTGCGCCTCCCAGTGTAGCAGAGAGGAGTGCATTTGTTCCAGCCGTCATCATTCATGTACCTCGATGAGAAAACATGCTTTCGCCATGCATGGCTTGTCCCTGTAATCATACTCATAACTCAGGTGATTGTACAATTTACACACTCAGAGTATAAATTGTCTGATGCTCTGAATAAAGGTGGCTACTGAATGAGACTTTAGTCCGCCTCATTTTTAGCCCTGCTCTCCCATTCAGCCTCTAACTAGAGCAGTAAACATATAGTTAGTGTTACTATCACCTCCACCTAGAACACTCTACCATGTCAAAACTACATCCCCAATCTCCTCCCTCTGTGCCACCATTTTGAGCAACACTCTCATAAACACCATGTTTTGTCACTCATGCCCTCCTACACGCTCATAATTTGCCTCTATTTTACTTGCTTTGCCAAAACCAAAACCAAACAAACAAATCCCACAAAACAAAACAAAACCCACCAAACAGTTCACGTTCACAGCTGGGCACAGAGGAACATACTTATAATCCTAGTATTTGGGAGGCTGATGCCAGAAGATCATTAGTGGGTTCTAGGCCAACCTGGACCACACAGTACGACTCTTCATCTGAAAACAAAGCACAACAAGCAGGAGGAACCCAAGTCCTCACTTGTCTGAGAAAGCAGGTACACAGCTAACTGCGACTGCTCACTGGTGTCCCAGCTGGTTCTCAAGGAATGCTGGGTAGGGCCTTCATTCTGCTGAGCAATGCTACACTCATTCCCTTGACCATTAATCCTCTCACTCTCTTAGATGACCTTTTCTGCTCCTTTCTCTTTTTAACACATTTTCTGTATCCCATCTGTCAATATACGGCATTGCTTTCTCTTTCCTGAGAAAATAAGAGGAATCAGAGAACTTTCAAGCCTTCCCAATTACTTTACTACCTAGTGAAATTAGATTCATACAGTCTGACGTCCTTCTTCTCCTAAGAGATGAACTGCTACATTCTTTTACAGCCGCTTCTCTACTTTCTAAATCGCATGCCCTTTGCTTGGTCAAAGACACCGCTCTGTTGGACTATTCCTATTAGTATACAAACACAAAATTATTTTTTCCATTAAAAATAATTAAAACAAGAAACAAAAACCTCTTGACAGCTCTTTTCCCCCAACAATTTCTTCTCCTTTATGCAGAACTCCCAATGTTGGTCTCAATGACTTTAATGTTTTTCCTATCAGTCACTTGAGCTCAAACCCACTCTGCCAAACGCTCACAGCTACCACTGACCTCCAGAATGCTAACTCCATTGGTTGTTAGCGCTCATCTCATTTCATCACAAGACGTGGTAACGTCCGCCTCACTGCAAGCCCTCATTTCCTAGACTCTCGGGAGTCTATACTTCGGTCTCCTGCCATGTCTCTCTGGCTATTCCTTCTCAGCCTCACTAGTGAAGGCTGAAATAAGCTTAAGGGGCCAAAGCAGATCTCAAGACACTTATTTGGCGTCTCATTGAGTCTTGTAGCCTTTGGTCTGTGTGTGTGTGTGTGTGTGTGTGTGTGTGTGTGTGTGTTTTAAGACAAAGTTTCTCTATGTAGTTCTGGCTGTTCTGAAACTCAGAGATCTACCTGCCTCTGCCTCCTGAGTGCTGAGATTAATGGTGTGAGCCACTACTGCCTGGCAAGAGTTGTGGCTTTTATTAAGATTTACTTACTTTATGTTTCTAAGTGTTTTACCCATACAAATGTGTCACGTGTCAAGTGCCTGCAGAAGCAGAAGAGAGCACTACATTTCCTGGAACTGGAGTTACTTGGGTGCTGGGAACCAAACCTGGGTCCTCTTGAAGAACAGCAAATGCTCTTTAATTGTTAAGCTATGTCTCCAGTTCATATATTTCTCTCTTTTTGAATATTTATTTCCTTATTTTAGAGAGGGTGCATGTACCATGCTGTGGATTTGGAGGTCTGAGGTCAACTTGTAGGAGTTTGTTCCTTCCTTCCACCTCCCCCAGTCTTATGACTTGATATACCATCCATGAGCTAGTAACTCTAAACCATAGTAGTCCGTTAACTGCACATTTGTCTATCCAGTTGTCTGTTCTTCCTGGGTATCAGGCACTTTCCACTCATCCTGTTTCAGATTTGCGCTTTCCAGTTCTTCTCACCTCAATAAACTGTGATTTCACACTTCTATTGCCTAAGTCAAAACCCAGTAACTTTCGCCTCTCTTCTGCCTTTCAGATCCTGCATCCAATGATCAACAAACCCTTATAGCTCTGCTTTCCATTTCTTACTCACTCCCTTGTCTACACCATGGCCACCTCTTGTGTAAATGACAATAACCTTTTAGCTAGTTTTTTTGTTTCCAGTCTGTGCTCCTATAATCTATCTTAAAAGAGCAGATGGATTAGTCACAGTTATGCCATGTAAGGGTTCACAGTCTTACCTACTAAGAGCCGAAGTTCTTATAATGGTCTAGAAGACTCTCACCAGCACAGAACTCTTCCTCTTATCTCTCAATCCTCTCCGGACACATCAATATCCAAATTAATCCATCAAGGTTTTTGTACTCTATTTCCTTTGGTTTCTACACAACACTCTCCTTGTATAGACATGGACATAATTCACTCTGCTGGAATAAACTTTTATTTATAATGACCTTCTACACTATTCATGCTCATCTGGAAAACTCCTATTCAGCCTGTAAGACCAACTTAAAATATTGTGCCTCCATAAAATAACCAGTAATCCAGGACCCCCAAGTATGTTATTCTTCATTTCTTTTATCCCTGAAAACTTAGCTTGAAAAGTCAACGATAAGAACACTGGGGATCTAGTTTTTTCAGGCTTAAAGATCACACCATTTTAATGGCGTCTCGAAAGAAAAGGATGAAAGGCACAGTCTGCAAATGTCACAAACACATGCAGTCTTGCACATAACTCCATGGACCTATAAAGCAAAGAGTTTAAATTTCATTATCTGAATAGTTACTCTACCTATGGAAACAGCTGCTGGCACCCAGTGGCTACAGATGAAAATGAATAAGAACACAGCCACTGCCAGCCAATAACTGGAGAAATAGAGAATCAAGAAAATAAATAACCTGACCTCTTTTTCTTCCTAGTCTCCAATCTCCAGCTGATGCTTCCCATTGGTTGAACCCAACTGGAACCCAAAAGGCAAGGGAGCTCAGCTAATGCAGTCCAGAGGTCAGCCTCCCAAGGCTTAGAGTATGGTGAAGAGAGATCTGGAGAGGCAAACAGAGAAGATCCTGCATACTATGCTATGGAGTTTAGGTTTGATCCTATAGGCATGCTATGCAAATAATTTGATCAGAATTCTAATTACAAAAAAATGTGTGTACAGTACCTAAGCATTACAGAGTCTAAACAGGAGGGGACAGAAGAATTCTTTAGTGAAGCATTCAGAATGAAGCCTGAAGAAACAAATATTAAATTATTTATCTATTTCCTTACATGTTTCTTAATCTTTAATTCCAAAGCTCCCCATATTGTGAGATACTAGAAAGTCAGGACTGAATTTCATTGATCCTTCTGTTCTATACCCTATTACTATGCTTGGCTTAAATAATTTTCAACAAAATAAGTCAAGGGGTTAAAAAAAAAAACAAAGATATTTCAACCTATTTTCTATTGGATAGTTGTATTGAAAACTTGAGAGGCATAAATATATGGACATATCCTAAAAAGGACTGGTAGAAAAATAATTGGTGGCTATTGAACTCCACTGACTCAATTATAATATGTCATTAAAGAACAGGCACTCCAAAAATGGAATGCCAAGATTTAAAGAAAAACCTTATTATTTCTCAAGCATAGTATTCAATAATCAAGCTCTTACAGGAACCCAAAATCCAAATTATTAATTTGTATGACTATTTAACATGGCAATAGAGTCAAATTTGTTAAAAAAAAAAAAGTAAGGTCTTCAATATCAGCTTTTTCTCCAGTTGTTTATAAACCTGTGCCCCTGAGGCTGAGAGACCTCACTGTGGTGCGTCCCCCACTGAGGCTGAGAGACCTCACTGTGGTGCGTCCCCCACTGAGGCTGAGAGACCTCACTGTGGTGTGTCCCCCACTGAGGCTGAGAGACCTCACTGTGGTGCGTCCCCACTGAGCGCTGAGAGACCTCACTGTGGTTCCCCACTGAGGCTGAGAGACCTCACTGTGGTGCGTCCCCCACTGAGGCTGAGAGACCTCACTGTGGTGCGTCCCCACTGCGCGCCGCACTCTTCTGCAGCTCAGGCCGTCACTCCTCAGTTCTCCATGGACTGGACTCCTCGGGGTTAAAAGTCAGCAAGGGGAAGAAAGCCATGTGTATTAATAGCTCATCTGGTTTGAAAACCTATAGTCTACAGCCTAGGAATATAGGAAAGAATAAAAAATCATCCTTTAACTGTAATAAAAGAAATTCATTTTTTTCCCTTCAATAATGGAAAGTGGAGGGGTGGGAGAATAAGGGGGTGACATTTATTAAAATTTGCCATATTACACCAGACTGTCAAAAAATACTTTTCCTCCAGGAATAACTACATGCTTTCTTTCAGAGCAAAACAAAGCAAGCCAAAAGTCAAAGACCAAGTGAAAATCTTTACACAATTTTATCAAGCAACCAACTTAACACTATTCCAAAAGCCTTTGCTATGTATGTCCTACATGCCTAAGGCTAATTCCCATCTCTAATGACGGCAGGAAAATCATTCACTGTGAATAATTGCCACCATTCTTCTTTGCTATCTCTCCCTTTAACAGAAAGCAAATTACTGAACACACAAGAAGCTAGCGCGGAATAAGAGCCTGTGCGCGGCCTTTTAGGTAATGAGAACAGTCAATTGCTGAAGGCACTGGTGTGGCTCATCTGGCTAGAAGGCACCAGAGAAAGCTTGCTCCAGTTACTGTTCTGTCTTTTACTTAGCTATCAACCCCACTGTCTTCAATGTCCTCAGCATTCTGAAAGCCATTTCATCTCATGCCTGCCAACCTGAACACAGTCTATTTAGGTAGAGACGCTCAAGTAAAGACACAAGTTTTACAGGTCCTGAACAATGTTAATCATGAGCAAGAAACACTCACTCTAGATCCCAGTTAAACAGTGAGAGATAGACACACAAGGACTCTATAGGAACTTACTTCAACTTTATTTTTATTTATTTGTTTATTTGTTTGTCTATTAAGAGGTAGGAGGTGGGCCATGTCACATGTGTGGAGGTCAGAGGACAACTTTCAGGAGTTGGTTTTCTTCCTACGATGTGGGTTCCAGGAACTGAACTCAGATTGTCCTGCTTGCAGGCAAGTGACCTCACCACTGAGCCATCTCTTGAGCCTCTCAACTTTATTTCTAAAATAGTAATGTAAGCCTTCAGTGGGAAACATAAGCTACTAGAAGCTATCATCTTTGAGCACAGACATGTAGAAGACACTGAGATGTAGTTGCTGCATCACATCAACTAGACTACTGAGCTCAGCTGGCGGTGCTGCTAAGAGTTCCAGTCAAAGAAATCAAAGCTCCAGGAAGTGGCGTGCTGAAAGGCAGATGACTGAACTAATGCTTGAACACGGGAGCCATTCTCAAAGATCACCACCACTGCCAGGCGGCTTGAACACTGGAGCCATTCTCAAAGATCACCACCACTGCCAGGCGGCTTGAACACTGGAGCCATTCTCAAAGATCACCACCACTGCCAGGCGGTGGTGGCACATGACCTTAATCCCAGCACTCAGCACGCACAGGGAGGGGAGCTCTGTGAGTTCGAGGCCAGCTTGAGGTACAGAGCTAGTTCCAGGACAGCCAGGGCTACACAGAAAAGCCCCCTCATACATACAAACACACACACACACACACACACACGAATCACTATTACTGCTACAACTATCAAATTGAGAGTAAGACCTTCTAATATACCGTGTCTTAACAAGTAATCATAAATACAACTCAGACAAGCACATTTAATTAAAACCACATTAACCTGTTATTAATGAGAAGAAAATAATCCCTAGAGACATGACATATCCTTTGTGGTGTGAACTGTAAGCAAATTATGAACGGATCCCAACTTAGAATAGGCGGCTCACAATGTTCTGAGTTTACAATGATGTGAAAGTATTATACCCTGAATAGGAATGATACATTAAGTTTTGAATTTTTATCTTTTCCTGAGCAAGCGACAGGCCATTCAACACTCACGGTGCTGTGGAGCTATCAGCCACACGATGATGAAGGTTGATTTCATTTGTAGATCACAGAAAACATAAATACACCTAATTAAGTATCTAGGGCCAGAAGACATCTACAGTAAAGTCAGTAAAGCTAGAACATAAGCAGAAGTAGGCCTTCTTTACTCTAAGACAATGGCCAACCTAGTCCTCTCCGCTGAGAGCCTGGAAAGCTGTGCAGTCATCCCAGCATGGTGCTACAGGCATTTACTACTCCTGGACTCCAAATCAGTATCTCTATACCTTCAGTTCCATAAACAGCAGCAGAGGTAAGCTATACCACAACTCTTCTGTAGATTCAGAATCAAAGTACACACTATAAAATAAAATAATTTTGATAGGTTGTCAAAATTACTTATCAGTGACTTAAGTGATATTATTTTGTGGAATAGTAATTTTTATTTATCAGAAAATGTGAATAGATTAAATATTATTTAAACAACACTTTTGATTTAATTGCATAATTACAAAAACATTTAATTGTAATTTTGAACTGTCTGCTACATCCTACAAAGTTGAGAACACCTGTGAGAAATGTTCTCATAGAAGTTAAACATTATTAATCGGGTGTACTGTAATTTACATGTGAAGAAAGCACGCAGCCACAATGACATCTAATAAGAAAAACAAGGAATTACCTTGGCTGACAGATAGTGCTTGTAGTAATAGAGCTGAAACAGCAGGAACGCAGAACTTGTCAGTGTTAGGAGGGCCAAGATCACGTTCTTATTGATTCTACTCATTGGTCTGTGGTCTTCTCGCAGATATCTTTAACAGTAACCCAGCTGTTATCATCTTCTTCATGAAACAGAAAGATAATCTTGTTTTCTGTGAACAAAGAGGTACTTCTGAAAAGGAAAAAAAAAAAAGGTCAATTTGGCAAAAAAAAAAAGAAAAATTTAAAATTAGCTTCAATAATCATTGATCTCACACACACACACACAGACACACACACACACACACACACACACACACAAGTTATTTAGCCAAGCATGGCAGTACATGGCTATCATTTGGTATGCTGAGGCAGGGGAATAACAAGTACAAGGCCAGCCTGGGCTACACAGTGAGTCCTAGACCAGCTTGAGCAACCTAGAAAGACCCTTTCTCAAACAGACAAACAAACAAACAACAAAAGCAAAACTGGAAGAGAAAAGGCTATCTGCAGCTCTACAGAACACTTTGGCCAAGAGGAATGCAGGGGAAGGGGAGGGGCTTCTACAATGTTTCTGAGTCAACAGACCTGGCCTGGGACCTTTGGATCTCAGAATGTGAGTCAGACAAGACTTCTGACCGTAATGAGAACTACTTCTGGGGGATAAGTGAGAAAGAAGTTTTTAGTCAAGAAGCACAGTATCTTTGTTTTGTGAGGGTGTGTGTGCGTGTGCGCATGCGCACATGCACGTGTAATATAGGAATAAATGATCTTGGTATTGGCAAGGGTAGCGAATACTTTAGTAAACATTTTGATCTTTCATCCTGGGTATCAATCACCTCCAATTATTTCTTCAGAATAAGAATTTAGTATGTATTTCCTAACTCCTCTCCAATATATGATCTTGGATAAATATTTTTATTTGTCCTCTAGTGTTTAGCTTTATGTCTTCAAGAATACTAATACCTCTTTCACTTAATAACCTAAGTTTTCTGACTTAGGTTTTCTGGTTGTAAGGAGAAACTGGCAAACTATGCCACCTTCTGTCTTCTTTCCTTTCCCTACTTATTTCTACTTGGTTATTTTCTTCTGTCCAATAACTATGTTCTTTTGCTCTTATTTGTTCAGTGTCCCACAATGACGTTATATACCCACTGCCCACTCTATAAAAAAGAACGTAACAGCGCTGCTTACTTTCACTGTTTGCGCTGTTTAAACACAGGTGTCGGGAGAGTTTGGCTGTGAGGTCACACTTTACTTCCCCTGAGAAGTTACAGGGTTTATAGCTATACCCTGCAATGCTAATTTTTCTCTTGGTTGACCAGCTACAGGGAATACGATTTGTTTTAATGGATCACCATGGAAGCACACATATTCCCTACCTTGTTGACCTAGACTATATAGTGATAGCGATTTCTATATATTCATTTTTCCTTGGCCTTTGCATAGTCTCTCAACTTATAAAGATTTCTTTGTAGAAAACTTTTTGATGTCGTTTGAATACTGTGTGCTGGCTCCTGCACACAGAACTTCTCAAGTCCTTCACGCGGCTTCCAACACCTTCCGAGCTGGCCCCTCCCTGGCTAGTCGCCCTGTCGTGGTCGCCTTCCCCGTGGTTCACGCCTCCAGCCACTCCTTTAGGTGTACAGAGCAGCAGGCTGCAGCAGTTCCTTCCCTGCCGAGGCACCGTGCTATGCCCGGGTCCTCACATCCGATCCTTATCCCCGTATCTTCCGCTCTCACCACCCAGATCAAACGACACCGCCCCGACCCGGCTTCCACGAGCGTCTCCATCAACCTCCAAACTCGAAGCCGGGTGCGGACGATCAGTGGACAGCATCGGCATGCAGGGAAGATCTGCAACCGGGACGGCCGCAGCACACCGGCGGACCGATCTCGGCCTCCTCCCCACCGCCTTAGGGTGGCACCGCAAAGGTGGCTGGTACCTGGCGACCAGCGACAGGTGCCTGAGGACGTCCGCCCTGGACCAGCGACCCAGCCCGGTTGCCTTCATCTTACCTCACTCTACAGCAGCGGCGGCGGCGACCTTGCTTTACGGCAGTCACAGCCGTCGCAAAGGGGCCGTCAGGCGCGCAGTCGCACACGCTGGACCTGGGATCGTTCTCGTCTTCTGCCACTTCTCTAAATTCTTGGAACTCTGCTGTTTGCTTGGCCTTTAGAAAGCCACAGGCAGCCTTCCCTTTAGCAGTGAACCGAGGCTGCTTCAGAATGTAGGAGAAACTCCGGCGAACAAAGCAGAACTGTCTCCCCTGGTGTTCTGGATCATCAGTACAGAAAGCTGTTTACGTGCGAACTTTGGGAGGATAATGATTTCTTCCCTTCGTTCTCACCCCACCCCTGCCCTTCTGTAAGCACACACACTAAGCAAGCAGATTCAAAACAACTCCTTGGGTTCTGCTTTGGATGCCATTGCTTGCGAATGGGGCTGGAGTGGGAAAGATCGCTGTGTATTGATGAGCAAGCTCACGAGGTTGAGCTGCCTAATTGACATCCAGGTCTAGGGCTGACTTCCAGTCTAGGGCTCAGAACAAACATACAGTTCTGGGGACTGGCATCTTTTGCTTTTAATGGTGTAGTTTAAAGAGTTATTGGTAAGGATCAGATGTGGATTTTGATAAGAAGTTTTGAGAATTAAAGGCACCAAATTATTGTAGTTTTAAATTCTCTGTACGAAAATTACTAAGGGCCCATAGAAAAAGATGAAATAGTTTACCCTCCACATCCCGTTCTGTATTGTGTAATTCAAGCTGGTCTTAAACTCTCCATGTAGCCCAGGTTGGCCTTCAACGGATCCTAGTACTTCCACATCTCAGGTGCTGGGATTACAAATTTGCACTGTCATGCTTGGCTTAAAACAGAATTTTCCTAAAAATTGTGATCGTTTCAAAAAGTCACTATTAAGCCTGGATGCCTATGATTCAAGCATTTGGGACGTCAAGGTAGGAGGGTCAGGAGTCAGGCCTTGTCTTTTAACAACAACAAAAGTTAAAATTGATGCATACTGGAGTGACAAGAGGTGGTATTTTTAAAAAAATGAGCAGTGTTTATTATGCTAAACAATGTGCGAAAATTATAAGTAAGAAGAGCTGTCTGGTTTTTATAAGTGAATCCTTTTCAAGTGCATAGCTGTAAGTGTTGTGGCTCTGAAGGGAAAGGCTTCCCCAGTGCAAGTGTTATACCTCCGCTCCAGCAGTGGGCGGAAGGTTTCCAGAGCAGAGGTGTTAGAGCTCTGCTCCCGCTCCAGGACGTATCCTGGAGTCCAAATACCACAAAATCCCAGTACAACAAACCTCACACAGAGGTTTATTGCAAGGGGAAAAAGAAGATACAGGAAGGTAGCTGCAGAAGGTAGCTCAGTTGAGCAGAACACGGGGTTTATATAGGGTTTCTTGGGTAGGTAGGCAGGGAGCTTTCCAGGGTGGCCTGGGATTAGTGGGATTCTGTGTACTGATCTTTGGCAAACCCAGGGATTGGTAGGATTCTGTGGCCTGATAGTCAGGCAAACTGAGATATTGGTGTGATTCTTTTTCTTGCCCCTGGTCTTGGGTTTGGGGTCAAGTTGGAATCAGAATGTTTTTCCTTGATCTTTTTACCCTACAATAGCACATCTTGTCCTGCATAAACCTTGAAAAGAGGCAGAGGACTAGCCAGTTTTCTAATTTCAATTTAAGTATAGATCTCATTGTTTTTCCTACATAAACACAGTCATAATGGGCCATCTGCATTTTCAAGTTTCTGTTACTATAAAATGGACCAGAATTTAAAGATATATGCCAAAGAAAGATTCTGGAACCCCTAAAAGAAAATTGGCATTCTTTTTCCTTTGGTTACCTTAGACATAACTTGTCAGGAACATTTTTTTGGCAGTTTACCTTTAAAGTTTCCCCCACTTATAAGTAACTTTATTTTCAACACAATTTTGAAAAGTAAAAGCCCCATATACCACTGGAAGTTGTAGAATAAAAAGATAAACACAACTTAACTGGTCACAATGATACTTGTTAACAGCCTGAATGTGAACCGCTCTCTCAAAGGCTTCTTTTGGTCTCTCCAGCCACTGGCAGTTTTAGAAACACGGAGAGGCAGGGCTCTAAAACCCTGGAGGAAGTGGGCCATTAGAGGGGACAGGCTAAGGTTTGTAGCCCAGCCCTGCTTTTAGTCTGCTCTCTACTTCTGGGTCCAGCCCATCTAGATGTGAGTAGACTCAGCCACCTGCCGCAGCTGCCATAAACTCTGCCATGCCCTACCTCCCATGATGGACTTTAACCTCTTCAACTATGAGCCAAAGGGAAGGTTTATCCCCCTAAGTTACTGCCATCAGATATTGTCAGATAACTAAAAAATAGCACTTCTCAAGAATGTCAGCGAGATACTTGTAAGATTTTAGTTCACCATAAAAGTGGTTTAATCTGGTTAGCTAAATTTAAAGCCATTGGAAAGGATACAAAGATGAATAAAAATAGCCTCTGTTAGAAGTAAACATTCATCTTTCGAGAGTCATCCAGGAGTGTGTGTATACACATCCTAGCCTGTAACATTTGTGGTATTCTAAGGCAGCAGCATAAAGTAGCAGCCCCAACAAACTTAAGTAGCCAAGAGCTTAGACATCAAAATGCCTTCTCCTCGGGCTCAACAGATGGCTCTGCAGTGAGGAGCACTCAGTGTTCTCCTGGAGAACCCAAATTCTAGTATGGAACCTCAGTCCCAGGGTATCCAGTACACTTTTCTGGCCTCTGAAGGGACCTGCACTTATGTGACGTACTTATATACACGTACATAAACCTAAATAAAAATAAATTTAAAAAACTGTAATATCCATCTGGACAGATAATGTTTCTTAAGGACAATAAATCCAGATTCAAATATGGAAGTCTCAGATTCCTCGAACAACACCATGACAGCATGAGTACCATATGACCTGGTATACATGCGTGCAGACACTCCAGTTGGCACGTCCAAGCACCATCCGTTTCCACAGGTGCCACCCATGGTGATATAAATACGTATGGTTCAATCTTTTCTGGATGGACCTTGGGAACAAGTCTTTAGAGGCTCTCAAGGCAAACATAGGGATGGCTAGGAAGGGAATTCTGGGGTACTGGCCATCTGTTGAATAGTAATCTAAACTTGGGTGTGTCAGTGGAAGCCGGAGGAATCCCACCTCTACTTTCCTTTCACGTTGCTGTAATCAAACACTCTGACAACAGCAGCAAGAAGGGAGAGCTTATTTGGGCTCAGTCCCAGATTACAGCCTATCACGTTAGGAAGTCTAAGAGGCAAAAGCTTGAAGGAGCTGGCTACATCACATCCCAAACCGTAAGAACAGAATTAATGTGTGAGAGTTAGCTCTCTCCTCTGTTGTCCAGGACCCAGCTGCGGAATGGCACAGTCCACATTCAGGGTATGTCTGCTCAACACCATTAATTCAAAGAAGGTAGCCCCTCCTTAGGCGTGGCCACAGATTAACCTGAGACAATCTCTCATTGAGACTCCCTTCTCGTGTGATTCTATACTGACTTGTGTCACATAGACAATTAACGCCAATCACCAGACACCCTTAGGGAGTTCCACTGGGTGAAGCTGGTAGCTTATCCCCACCATGATGCCATATGAAGCAGAGTTAACTAAGCATTTTACAGATTATATGTATTTTCTGTCACATAAGAGCGGGTACCTTCAAAGGCAAGAAAAGGGCATTCGATACCCTGGGACTGAAGTTTCATAATAGAATATATATATTTATATATTCATCCCTCCCCTTAATACCATATACTTTATCACTGGTGCAGTTACAAGGAAGCACAGTAATAAAACCAATCCCTTCGGTGCTGACCTTGGGCAAAGCGGGTAGAAGCAACTAGTGCCAAGCAATGTTAAGTGTAAAACTCTGTTTAATACAGGGAATGTCAACAGAAGCTGCACACAATTTACTAAGGAAAAGACACAAATTTGGGGGAAGCTAACTGCTATGAGGGTTACGTTATGGCTGGACAGTGAAATGCTCCTCTAGATTCTTTCATTCAATAGCAGTGCTACCTTAGTCTGTGGAACCTACAGTTGCTGGGAGTTTGCTGTTTGAGGACAGGTCTTAAAGGTCACAACCAACCTGTCTGTGACTGGACCAGTCTCTTTCCCTGATCTGCCAGGATGTGAGAAAGCAATTCCTTTCAGATGCCTGTCACTACCAGCAAGCCAGTTCAGTCACCATGCCTTCCCGTACGTGACAGATTTCTATTCCCTCAAAATACATATTTCTTCCCTTAAGCTACTTATCAGGTTTTTGGTCATAGTGACAAAACTAACAGCCTACATATGTATAGTATCACCTGCAGGGAGGGATATGAAGAATGTATATACACCATCATATGATGGAGGAAGGTCATTGGCTAATAAAGGAACTGCCTTGGCCCATTTTATTGGTTAGAGGATAGGTGGGAGGTGTAAACAGAACAGAACGCTGGGAGGAAGAGGAAGTGAGCTCAGTCTTGACAGCTCTCCTCTCCGGAGCAGACGCCTGAGAGAGACGCAATGCCCCTGCTCCCGGGATGAAGCTCCGACCCAGGATGGACATAGGCTAGAATCTTCCTGGTAAGCGCACCTTGGGGTGCCATACACAGATGATTAGAAATGGGCTAAATTAATATGTGAGAATTAGCCTAGAAGAGAATGGGCCAAGCAGTGTTTAAATGAATACAGTTTGTGTGTTGTTATTTCGGGCATAAGCTAGCCGAGCAGGCGGCCGGGGTGCTGGGAATGCAGCCCCGCCGCCCCTATTACTACAATCATACACAAATACTAGCTTGCAGTTATAAGTTAGAAAGAGGAACCTTCAAAATTCTGACAGCCGATTTTATTGAATTAACTTTTAACTGTGGAGGCCAGTTCTTTGCATAGCAACCAAGAAAGAAAAGAATGAAGGATCCATGTTTGCCTTTCTTCAGTTACCTTCTATTTTAATACCAAAATGCTACAGCTAGTACTGTTTATCTGTGTGTATGTATGCAAGAGAAACCGCTGAGAAAAACCTAACTTTTCAAGGGTAAGTGCATTTAAAAATCTCGATTCTGTTAAAACTGTTAAGTTGCACCCATCCATAGGCGTCTTTCTACTCAAGAGGACTGCCTGCCCCTGCAGACCTCTGTCATACACTCCTCCTCATGGTACAATGTTTCCCTTTTATCTTTCTCTTGGTGACCAAGACTTTTAAGAACAGGAACTACAGCCTAAATATAGTCATTCTGACATTGTTATTTGGTTTCCCCTTCAATTTGTTTCAGGTTAAAGAAAACACTGGTATCAGGATGGAGTTCTGAGTCTGACTCTTTGAGTGAGCCCCTATCAAAATGCACCTTAGGCTGTGATGCACTAATTACTGCATCTTCAGTGTATAAAACAATAGCTACCAGTGACATGTATTCATTTCTACATTAACAAATTTAAAATCTCAGTTGACTAGTACATTATTCTCAGAAGCTGCCTGTGACTAGGGGCTACTGAGCAAATACAAGGCTTCCATCATTACATAAAACTCTATTAAATGGAATTTTCTAACATTTTAAGGCAATAGCACTATAGCTTTTAAAATATTCTCATTCTCAACAAAACAACTATAGATATTTAAATAAAAGTTGATAAAAAATCAAACACACAAAAGAAAGCAAAGAAAAAGTTTAATTTTTAGAGGGATAATACAGGTGCTTTTGTAAAAACTCGAAGTAGAACATTTTATACAGAACATACAATCATTTCAACACACAAGTTACTGGACTTTACACTCATTCTGAAGTTTAAAAACAGCATTTAAAAGGCTTTGTCTTGTTTCTAAGGAAAATGAGGCAGTGTGCTCATTTCAAACACTCTTGTAGCACTGAGTATATCATGTGTAGTTGATTAATGGTCTTCATCCACAACTTAAAGGTTAAACCTGAGGAACTGCAAATTTTTTTTTTTATCACAACTGCATAGCAAAGTCATGTCCAGATAACAGACATACCAACATCCTGTAGAGTAGGATAACTTGTAAACCATTTAATACGTCCAATTTAGAGCAACACAAATATGTCCAGAGAATAACTGATATAGGTTAATGAACAGGTTTTGAAATGTTTTTCAATAATTTGTCAAGTGTAACAAATAACTGAACCATCTTGTTGTTGTAGAAGAGTTATTTCATCCAACTTCACTCTGCACGGAGTACCAGGCCATCCTAAGTGAAAGTGCAAATTCCCGATGGAAAAGGAGCTGAAGCCATTTGCGTACTTAGGCTTCTACTCTACACAGGGACGCTGTGGAGGAGCTTTTACAACTGTAGAAGGTATGTAGTAGTTGAGAAAATGTCCACAGACTCAGTCGTGCACTAAGCAAATTAATAGTAAAGAACACTTTAATAGGAGGTCTTACTTTTTAAAAAATCATTTAAAAATCATCGGTAACACCAACTTAAGAATATGCTTTTTCAAAGTAAACAGGATTTACAAGTATCCAAACACTTACAGCCATTATTAATGAAAACCACCCCCTCTCCAGAGGACTCCATGTCATTACACACCTCACAACAGCCCTGTGAGGTAGGCTAAACAATGCAGAATATTTTAAGTAAGGCAATAGAGACCCAAAGTGGTGAGTGACTTACAAAAGATCGTATTACTGTATGGGAGAGTTATAGTGATTAATTTTAAATACTTAATGTCACGAATCTTAAAGCCTAGCAGCTTTTCCTGGCGCTATTTCCCAGCATTAGCTATTATATCTTAATAGAATCAGTCATGCATTTGATTCTACAGAGTCTCCGTCAAAAGATCAATTAGACTCAGTCCTTTGGTACCTTAGAGATACTGAGAATGTTCAAATGACATTTTTCTCATAGTTCTGTGCTCTCCAAAATGTTCCAATATTAAAATGCCTTTTACCAATCTCTTCCAACTTGATTTATTTTAAAATTGGTTCAAAGTTCCAAGCAAAGCAAATACATTCACTGACTGCTGCCCTACATACTGTAAATCCTCTATATAGTTTTTCCTAAGCACCAACTTAAGTTGACTGAGTATTATTAAGAAAATATATAATTTTAAACAAATATAACTTAACTGATGATGTATCAAAGCCTGTATATTATATTAACCCAGAAAAAAGTACCCTTTTAATATGATTGGATAGTCAAGATAAAAGTTCTATGGTAATTTCTGGTGTTGATTACTAAGCCGATATTCTTAACATTCATATGGCATGTATAACATTTCAATTCAAACAACAGCAACGAGCAATCTACTTAACTTCCAACTGGAGGAAAGTTCCTATGGTATTCAAGTTAATCATACCTCTTAGGTAACAAATACTGACATCAGACTCACAAGTGTGAACACTGTTCAGATACAGATAAAAAACTAAAAATACCAATTGCAATGTAATGTTGGTGTGATGATCTTCAGTAAGAAAAGCTTTATTACTGACGGTAGTTCTGAGTGCTGAGCTACAAAAGGTACATCTGGTTGAAAATAACAACTTCATGGTGACCTGGATACTAAGTAAATCCATGCTTACCTCTTAAGGACTGCATATAGTGTAAAAACAAAACCAGGAAAGAAACTTTTCCAGACTTTTGGTTACAATATAAAAGTGTAGTATTATGATTTATCATTAATTTGATAGGTTTTTTTTACAAGCTAAAACAAATGTACTTTAAATTTTTAAAAGTTATATCGTGTATGTGCATTGTGTGTGTGTGTAGGTGTGTGGGGGGGGGTGTGTGTGTGGTTTAGAGGACAACTTACAGGAGTTGCTTCTCCCCAAACTTGTGTGCCCCAGGGAACAAACTCAGTCATCTTCCTGGCAGCAAGCTCTTTTCCTGTGATCCATCTTCCCAGCCCAATGAATGTATTTCTTTAAGAAGTGTAATGACATATTAACAAAACATTATTTTTAGATGAAGACTATAACATCAAAAACAGCAGAGCGAGGTGCTATGGTGAATTAAACTCTACTAGTTTTGGAAACCTGCATAGAAAGTAATAAAACTGATGCCATAGCATAGAAACTCAAGTACTGTTATACGGCTTATATGCCGTGACTGAAACACTCACATTTTCGTCTAGAGTGGTGTGAGACCAGCGCGCTGCCTGCTGTGCTCAAGAGGCACCATGGCCTAGAGGAATACAGTTCATGGTAAGACGTATATACTGTCTCCTTTTAAGATTAATATTCTTTGGAGTAATCACGTCCCAAATATATCCCTTTCCAATTTTTAAAATTGTTTTTGAAAGAAACAACTGCAAATACATAAATAGTTATAATTTTTGGAAAAGATATATAGAGAAAAATCAATCATTCTAAGTAAGTCAGGAAATAGAATATCTTGACCTAATTAAAATATTTCATTATAAACATTTTCTTTTATTATTTATACCAAGGATCTTGGAAGTTCAGGTTATACATAATATTGTTGATGGTTTTATTCCACAAATGAGACCCTGACTGCAAGTCAGTCAAAATCTTCAGAACAGACGGAGAAGGGCACACCTGCTGTCCAGCAGTTCACTGTCCTATGGCAGAGGTGCTATCAAACCCACAGACAAACCCTTAATACTTCTTTAAAACCTCTACCTGGAACATTCAGAGAATCACTATATATTACATTTCTATGTGCATTAGTCATGAAGTGGTCGGTGTATTACATATTTACCAAACTTTAAATGATGTGACAGTCAGCTGGGTCAGTGAATTGTAGCAGAATTCTTTTCTAAAGTGCTTAAGGCAGCCCCTTCCTGTCTACTTCCAGCTGAATAAACCTGGGTTGGAATTCAACTGCTGAAAGAGAAATACAATACTTCCTACATGTTTTTATGAGACAGTTTCATACCTGTGTCTGTGCATTCCAGTCCACGTCTCCTGCGCTTCCTTCATGGAAAGCAGCGGTGCTTGAGCGGGGCACGCAGACACGGAAGCAGGGAAGAGCGCAGGGAGCGCACTGTGAGTTATGAGAGGACCTCTGGCGGATGTACCACAGCAGCTAAGCTGCGCAAAGCTCAGTTTTTACCTCTAATGCTAATGAGGATGTCAAAGACTATGATCAATTAATAGTTACCTTATTTTGAAATGATTTAAGTAGGCACTATATTCAATTATTTTTAATTTAAAAACAAGGGTGACAAACTTCCTTTTAACTTAATAAACTTGGGTTTTTAAACTAAAGTACTACAGATGTGGTTTTTTTTTTAATAAAATAAGAGACAATAAGAATCAGAGAGAAAGAAAAAGCTGTTACTTGAAAGTAATGAAGGAATAATTAGTACCAAATATCACGTGATAAGATCTTGGACTCTTATTCACTGACTTTATACTTTGTACTACAGATACACTGAGAAACAAAACCTCTTGGTAAAAATCACGCATATTCCAATGAATGCGTGGAAATTTTATATAAAGGTCTCAAATGATGGTCCAAGAACCACACGCACTCCTCCAGCCCTCAACAGAAGGCCCTCACCACTAAGTGCAAGCTGCCTGGCCTAAATTCAATTGACAGTGAGTGTGCGTAGAGGAAAAAGGCACTGTATAAATGAGAAGACAACTATGGAAGATATAATATCATAAAGAAAAGTTCTATGTAAGAACAGCTGGCTCTTAATGTCATTTTTGACAAAATATACTGAGTAGTCACACAAAACAATTCCAGTCAATTACTGCTTTCAGGTATGACTTTACAAAAAGGAGCAACTCCTTTTTCCTAAGGTCATGAAATGATATTCCTATAGGTAGTAGAACTCTGAACAATGCCTTTCAAGCTATGAAAAATGAAAATAAAATACTGCTTTGGGGAACCAAATGAATATTGGCATATTTCACTCTGTAAATCGTTTCAGTCTGAAAAGCTGCCAATGTGTTATCAGATGACAGCGCAGATATCTGTTACATGAGAAAAATAGTATCCTACGTCAAATTTGTTTTATCAACAGAACAAAAACAATCATGCCAGTAAGCAGCAAATTTTAAGAGCAAATACTTATGACCGCCATACAAACACCACACAGAAAGCAGCAACAGACACTTCTCCAGGGAAGTTTGCCAAAGCCCAAGACACTTAAAACAAAAAGAGATTTAAAGTCTCAAAAATTAAAAGTCGAATATTCACTTCTTTAAAGGGCTGTCTGAAAGCAGTTTTATAATTTCAGCTTCAACTTTGGCTTCAGAAACTCGAGTTTCAGCAACTCTGCAATAGGTAACCACAGCTGCACTTGCTGATTCACACATCCCCTCGGGAAAGATGTGGGCTCGGGGAAGACATGCGTGTTCATTTGTGGAAGAATCATAAACTTTTAAACAGTGAATGAGTGAAACAAAAAGACAAAAAAAACCCCACCAAATCTTCAAATAATTATTTGAAAACATTTATACTAAATCAGACACATGTAGTTTTTTCAAAACAGTTAGTTAAACTATTCTATATCTTTGTAAAAATAACTTAAACTATTCCAGAAAGGAATACTTTAGAAATATTTCTTTATAATCTTTCACAGACAAAAAATTAGTAATGTACAGCTTTTTACCCTTTATAGAACTTAATCAACAAACTTCCACTCTCATTAGCAAGGGTAAAAATAAGCAATAATTACATTATCATCAGTGCTAGCTTAAGAGGAAATCTTTTCAAAGGTAGCTTTAAAAAGTGGGATTAAAGAAGAGAACAAAATCAGAAAGCCAGGCTTTTCAAATGGTCCCCAGGAGCACAGGGAGGAGCAGAAGGTGTGACCAATACTCCCTTTGCACTGTCTAATTTCTTCTTATCTGCTTGATATTTTGGGTTATAAGAACAATTATCACAATATTTTAGAGGAAAAAATTATATGAATCTGGTCAATAAATAAGTTACCTGTCAAAAGCCCAACTCATTTATAAAAGGTGAAATGAGCCGCTGTAAGAAAACTTCTCTGCCATCCAAGGCAATGATCTGAATTTCTACAAAGTCTTGGAACCCTGTGTTCTGAAAGCATCAGGTTAAGGAATTAATGACAGCTGGTGAGGAGAAACAAGAACACAGTAAGCTTTCAGAGCTTTGCAGCCCAGGCCCTGGGTCACCATATATAACTATTACTATTAGACGAGCCAAAGTATCTCAAGAAACGGAAAAATGGGTTTCTACATAAATCCTTCAATACCACTCCTTTTCTATTTACTACTCAAACGACAGTCCATAGGTACTGGCTTCTGGGACACTAAGTACTCTCCTGTGGCTGCTTCCTATTTGGTGCTTAGTCTAGCAGAGTCCAGGCTTTAAAGCAGAGCATAGCAGGCCTCATTCCCACCACTCCAAAACGTCTGCATTAGGAACTGCGTGGAAAGGCCACCCAAAGAAGAAGGGTAAACACAGTCTGAGGAGCTGTTACTGAGTGACATTGTTCAGGCTGCTTGCTGAACCGGTCATTCCATTTTCACTTTTCTGAAGTGTCCTCACAGCACTTGGAACCTGCATTCCAGTACTCAAAGAAAGTCCACCACACCAGACCTAGGACAAGACAAAACCTCGGTTAGACTCAGATCAAACTGAACTCCAGGAATCCTTAACCTTCCATTTGAAAGGCAAATGCCACATATATGAACATCAGCAAATCCCAAACTGATAAGTTTAACGTTTGAGCTGAGGAGGAAGGGAAAAGCTCACAGTGGCCAAAGGAAGACTTTGCAGAAACCACCGAAACTGCATCCAAGAACGGGAATTCAGGCAGCACAAACTCCAGAGGCTAAACCAGATTAATGCCAGCAGACAATGTTGACTGCTGATACTTTCCTAATCATTACAACCAGGGGATATGTACCCCAAAGAAACTTCCTTATCTTCCTTATTATTTTAACAGAGGCTTGGCTTTAGATATAGGACATATGGGCCAGTGAGGCGGCTCGGCAGGTAAAGAAAAGGCAGTGTCTATGCAAGCCAAACGACCTGAGCTTCATCCCTGGAACCTGTAGTCAAATTAGAGGAATCAGCTTCTGAGAGGTGACTTCCACATGCACACTGTGGCCCATAATATCTCTCTCTCTCTCTCTCTCTCTCTCTCTCTCTCTCTCTCTCTCACACACACACACACACACACACACACACACACAAATATAAAGTTAAAAAACACAAATGAGTTTATGAACGATAAAGTCACCTTGCTTGTGAAAAACAGTCCTATTAGTCAATAAAGTTAGAAAATAGATTGGAATAGTCAAGAGACTTAAGATATAAAAAAAATATGGACAATTTAGATTATCAGCTACCATGTATACAGCAAACATGAGTTTAAAGCAAGGATAACTGTAGAATCATTTAAGAATTCCTACTTTCAAATATAAAACTGTTAACTAGTGTTGCACCAAAGACTCTACAACTGAAATGATGAACTACATGGCTAACATTTAACATTTTTAAAACCAGCAGGCTTGGCAATAACAAATTCCCCAAAATGTGAAAATATTCCTCAGATACAGATGTAATAAGTTAACTGTTTAAATGATTCGGGAAAAATATTTCTTTAAAATACCTAGCAGAAGAGGGCTGGCCAGACGGCTCAGCAGTCAAGAGTCCTGGTTGCTTTCAGAGGAGTGTGTTAAGTTCCCAGCACTCACACGGTGGCTCACAGCCATCTGTAACTCCAGTTCCAGGGGGTCTGGTGCCCTCCTCTGGTGTAGGAAGTATTACAGCTTGTATTAGCCCGCCCACTGAGGCGAGGCCTCTCTTACTATTTACAGGGTTCATGTCCTTTATTTAGGGCTAGAATCCACTAATGAGTGAGTACATACCATATCTTTTTGGGTCTGGGTTCTCTCACTCAGGATAGTGTTTTCTATTTCCATCCATTTGCATGCAAAATTCAAAATCTCATTATTTTTTTACCGCTGAGTAGTACTCTAATGTGTATATATTCCACACTTTCTTTATCCATTCGTCCATTGAGGGGCATCTAGGTTGTTTCCAGGTTCTGGCTATTACAAATAATGCTGCTATGAACATAGTTGAACAAATGTAGTATGATTGAGTAACTTTGGGTATATGCCCGAGTGGTATTGCTGGATCCAGAGGTAGATTGATTCCCAATTTCCTGAGAAACCGCCACACTGATTTCCAAAGTGGTTGCACAAGTTTGCATTCCCACCAGCAATGAATGAGTGTTCCCCTTAATTCATATGCTCTCCAGCATAGGCTATCACTGGTGTTTTCGATTTTAGCCCTTCTGACAGGTGTAAGATGGTATCTCAAAGTTGTTTTGATTTGCATTTCCCTAAGGAGGTTAAACATGACCTTAAGTGTCTTTTGGCCATTTGAACTTCGTCTGATGAGAATTCTCCTTTCAGTTCAGTACCCCATTTTAAAATTGGAATCAGAGCATGCATGCGCCTCTTCTCTTTTGTTCCCCTTCCTCCGTGCCCAGTAGGCTGCTCCTTTGGGTCACATGATTCAACCGGTCTGATTTGTGACTTTACCCCTTAATAAATGCCTATCTATTTCTTATTTCTGAGCCAGTGTGGGGTTTCTTTTAAGTGTCCGACCACCATAACCCCTGGTACACTCCTCTGTCCTCTGTGGCACCAGGGATGGATGAGGTGGACATACATTCACTGCTTGCTTAGGGCTTCTATGCTGTCATAAAACACCATGAACAAAAGCAGAAGGAAGGAGTTTTTCTTACATTCTGTATTACAGTTCCCCATCAGAGGAAGCAGGAGCCATGGAGGAACGCTAGCTTACTGACTTATTTCTCACAACTTGTTCAGCTTGCTTTCTTATACGAGCCCAGGCATGGCAGGCAACACCAGCCATGGGTTGGGCCCTCCCACATCAGTCAAGAAGATACTTGACAGACTTGCCTACAGTTCAATCTCATAACTGAAGTTTCCTCTTCCCAGATAACCCTGGCTTGTGCCAAGGTGAGAGAAAACATCACAATACAACCAAAATATACAAGCAGGCAAACCCTCATATACATAAAATGTGTTTATTTTTTAATTTTCAAAAAAATACTAGCAGAAAATTTAAAGGTCAGTTTAAAAAAAAGTAAGCAACCGAGTGGTGGTGGTGCATGCCTTTAAACCCAGCACTTGGGACACAGAGACAGGTGGATCTTTGTGAGTTCCAGCCTGGTCTATAAGAGCTAGTTCCAGGACAGGATCCAAAGTTACAAAGAAACCCCGTCTTAAAAAAAAACAAGAAAGAAAAGAAAAGAAAAAAGAAAAAGAAAAAAAAATTAAGCAGTACTAGAGGAAGTGGGTATCCAAGTGCAAAGAAGAAGAAAAAAAAGGCATGAGCTAGACTGTTTACAAAAGTCTACTCAAAAGAGATCAATCACAGACTTAAATGTAAAACTTAAAAATACAAAACTTGAAGAAGAAACAAGAGCATAAAGACAGCATGCCACTCCATAAAACTGAAAAGGAGGCTAAACGAATCTGGAGCATTAATGTCCAGGATGGTGGCTAACTTCCAGAAGAGCCTCTTGGGGGTGGAGGTGGGCACAGGACACTGTAAGGCTGCACTGCTCGCTCGGGTGCTAGTCACAAAGGTGAGTGCAGTCCTGTAAATATCCATGCTTGCCATTCTGTACCTCTGTATGTTAGGACTGACTTTAATAAGACATACTGAAAACACACAGAAATTTAGAAAGGGTGGGTGGGGAAAAGGAGACGAATACAAAGGGAGTAAGGTACTCTGCTTCCTCAAATAATACAGCACATATTATTCTCAAAACTGCCAAGCCAGATAAAAAATAAATAAGATACTAACCATGAAACCAGGCAGTACTGGCTGAGTAAATTTTGTCTTGAAGGAATATAGCAACTGCTTTGAGTGTGCATCATAGAAAGACAGCTGACCTAAAAGGATAGAAAGTCTAATGCATTATCCAAAGTTATAACATCTAGGATCAACATGTGACCATGTCAAAAACTGTATTTTAGCATTAATTTTTTTACAAACTGTATGAACCATACTTAACAATTCTTATAAAAATCTGAAAACATGAAAAGAAAATCTAACTCTGGTTTTCTCCTGGCATTCAAGACCTTGGTAGTATCTCCATCATCTATTAAGCTGGTGCAGAAGTAAGTGTGGCTTTGCACTGTTGAAATTTGCCATCACTGGCATACGTAAGAACACCATATAATTCTTAAATAGTTATGGTTATGCTATGTACCGCTTTAATGTACATTGCTTGCTTTTTGTTTCTTGTTACTAACATTATTTGCTGTTTGTTTTACATTTATTTTATACTATGGAAATGCCAGACAAAAAGCAAACTCAAGTTTTCTTATATATGTTCAAAACTGGTTGTAAAGCAAAAGACAAAACCCACAGCATCAGCATGGAGTCTGGTCGAGGCACCACTAGTGAACGTACACTACAGCGCCGGCAGGATCCGCTAGTGGACACGCACTACAGCGCCGGCAGGATCCACTAGTGGACACACACTACAGCCCTGGCAGGATCCGCTAGTGGACACACACTACAGCCCTGGCAGGATCCGCTAGTGGACACGCACTACAGCGCCGGCAGGATCCGCTAGTGGACACACACTACAGCCCTGGCAGGATCCGCTAGTGGACACGCACTACAGCCCTGGCAGGATCCGCTAGTGGACACGCACTACAGCCCTGGCAGGATCCGCTAGTGGACACGCACTACAGCGCCAGCAGGATCCGCTAGTGGACATGCACTACAGCGCCGGCAGGATCCACTAGTGGACACGCACTACAGCCCTGGCAGGATCCGCTAGTGGACACGCACTACAGCCCTGGCAGGATCCGCTAGCGGACACGCACTACAGCCCTGGCAGGATCTGCTAGTGGACACACACTACAGCCCTGGCAGGATCTGCTAGTGGACACGCACTACAGCCCTGGCAGGATCCGCTAGTGGACACGCGCTACAGCGCCGGCAGGATCCGCTAGTGGACACGCACTACAGTGGTGGGGTAAAAAAAGGGTCTTGAAGACGAGGAACACTGTGGTCAGCCTTCACAAAATGACAGTGACCTTCTTAACAACTAATTACACAAGAAGTTGCTGAGCAACTCAACAGGGACTGTTCAGTAGTGGTTTGCTTTGGAAGCAACTGAAAAGGTGAAAGACTTGATAAGTGGACACCTCTTGAACTGACCTAAAATGAAAAGGAAGTTGTTTTCAACTGTTGTCCTCTCTTATTCTACACAGCCATTTCTCAATGTGATTGTGAATGTAAGGAAAAGTGGAGTGTACATGACAATTGATAATGATTAGCTCAGTGGTCAAACCAAGAAGTTTCGATTCTGATGAATCTGTCAAAAACCACCCCACCTGAGAAGTATGCTTAGCAAATCCACGAAATGCATCAACAATTGCACTGCTTTCGGCTGGCACTGGCTAACAGGAAGGCCTGATTCTCCACAAAGGGCCTGACCATACCTCAAAAAACCACTGTTTCAAATACAGAGCAAAGCACCACATCACCAAGCAACTCACTACTGCTTGTTCAAGAACCTAGAAAACTTTCTGTCATAGAAATAATTCCACAGCCAGGCAGTGGTGGTGCACACCTTTAATCCCAGCACTCAGGAGGCAGAGGCAGGCAGATCTCTGTGAGTTCGAGGCCAGCCTGGTCTACAAGAGCTAGTTCCGGGACAGGCACCAAAGCTACAGAGAAACCCTGTCTCAAAAAAACCAAAAAGAAAAAAAGAAAAGAAAAGAAAAATAATTCTACAATTAGCAGGATGAAGAAATTAGTCAGATTCCTCGTGTGTGTGTGTGTTTTATACTACCTGGATAAATATTTCTTATTGGTAAAAGTTTGTTGATCCTTAATGGTTCCTATTCTGATGAGTAAAAATGTATTCAGGCCTAGCTGTAACAGTTTAAAATTCATAGACCAGAACAGCATCCTTTGGCATCCACCAATAACATTACTTATTCCACATTAGCTGTTATTAGCTCACTAAATGCTAAGATCTCTTCCTTCATACATTGATTGTGCCAAATTCTATCAGCTTTTAAGCTTTACCCCATCTGTCTGCTAACTACTGAGCCCAGGCACACTCCACTCCACTCCCAGTCCGTCTTTCTGCATCATCTTGCCCTGACTGACTTGCTCAGTTTCACACTCGCTCTCTCTTTTGGAGGTCCCCTTTGGCGGCTCTCCTCTTGGGTCTCTATCCTAACCAGGCTGATATCATTTGTCTTTTTTTCATCTATTTTAAATGCAGTGGTTTTGTCTAGTTTCTCGTTTTCTTAAAGAAATCAACTGCCACTAAACAGGAACAGGAAAAAGCAGTATTCCTATATACTTTCACAGAAGTGAAAGCACTTTGCAACATTACTTTGTATACATAACGTATATTCAAATACAAGCAAGTATGGGGAAATGACTTTTTAGAAAAATAAGTACACTTACCTCCATCAAAGTCACAAAACACACCTATTTTCTCAGGAACAGGAACATCCAAAGCTTTGACCTTATTGTTATGTTTGGCAGCAAATGTGTTCTGTAACCAGCTGTTGACATGGATGCACCAACTGGTGTTTGTCTTTCCTAACTGGTCAAATTTTCCCAAAGTTTTGTATGCTACGCCCACACTGTAGGATTTACAATCCTTCTGGGCTTTGACTTCCCAATAATGCTGTCCACCTTCAATAGCGGTATCTCCTGCAAAAGGTGAGGAAAGGTTTTGACTCTGAGTTGTCCTTGAGAGTCACAGATCTTTAGTTACCACATGTTCTACAACAACGTAATTTCTCTTTTAGAGTAAATCTCAGTGTTGCTCAGAATAGCCACAAGTTCAAGATCCTTCCACCTCAGCCCCCAAAGTACTAGACTACAGGCTTATGCCGTCATACCCACTAAATTTAACTACTCTTTCCGTGAAAATAACCATGCCAACAACAGATACTAAATACAGAGTATGTGCTATAAATTTACATGTATTGCTTATGTTTATATGAATATAAAATAATTTAAAGCCTTTCTTTGTTAAAATCCCTTCACGGATTATATATTCATGAGGCATACTCTATGAGCTGAAGTAGAGATTTAAAAGTATCAGTAGGTCAAACTAAAGACTGTAAGTACTTGTAACTCTCAAAGTATTCAGGTTTCAATAAGAAAGCTTCTACAGACTTGTTCACATACAGGAAGGCTTTCTAGATGCGAAGTAGGAAGCTTACAGTGTACTTAATATGTGACCTTAAATCTGAGAACACTATGCTTTATCCTACCTAGCACTGTGTATGACTCCCCAGTAAAACGGTCTCTGCTGCCTCTTACTGCTGGTGGCCTGGAGCCTACAGACGTCCGTTTTGGGGATGGTGTACCACTTCTAAAAAAAATCAGAAGCAAAAATAAAAATATTTTATGTTGAGAATGGTTCATAAATTAGGATTACAAATCGCAGCAAAAGTTTCTGAAAATACTTCTCATTGTGTTGCAGCATTTTACTTCATATAAATTATTAAGAGCTATCAATTATGAACACAAATATAAGAAGTCATCAACACAAAGCAGGCTGAAAATGCTAATGTCATGCAGACTGAGCAAGGCGTATACCAAGAGCACACAGCTGAAATAAGAAACAATGCCAAAATGAGACAAGACTTGCTGATGGAAAAAAATTAAGAAAGATCTTGGTATGTTATAGCTTATAAATAAAAAAGCAGGTTCCTTATATAACCACAACTAAGTAGTCATTTTATTAGCAGTAATTTTGTTCTTGATCTTCTCTTCTTAAAAAAGAAAGTTACCTGAATCTATGTACTGGAAATATCAAAGCTCAAAGCATGCCCACTACTACAATGAATAAGATCAATATGATCTCCTTTCATAGCAAATAACGTGACAGCAAACTGGACATTATTACACTCTTCAACAACTCTCAAAAACTTCAAATAGACTAAATCTCTATCAAGGTAGCGCCCCAGGTTCCACGGTGCACTTTTTGCAGCCTCAGTTCCTTGTAGCTCGCCCTTCAAGATGTGTTTAAAGTACGCTTTAATTATACTGAGTTTGCATTTGAAAAGCATTTTCTTTTTGGTTAGTATCCTAAAATTAGGCTCTAGAGAAGCTCAAATGGTCAAGTGCAAGCTTAAGCTTAGCGTGCAAGTATAGGGACTGGATCTCAGTCCTTAGAATGCATGTAAGTCAGGAATGGTGATCTGCACTTGCAACCCCGGAACTGGACAAGTGACAGGTGGGTGCATGCGGCTCTCTGGCCAGCCAACCTGCTTGGTAAGTCCCAGGAAAATAAAAGATCCAGTCTCAAAATACAAGGTGACTGGCACTGGAAGAATACTGCCTACCTATCTACCTATAGTCAAGAACACACGCACACACTCACACATGAAGGAGGGGAGATTTTGAGAGATTATTCTGAGATTATTTAGGGAAAATGAAAATACTTTACTAGCAATTACAACTTAGAAGTTTTCCAATACAGTTGCATTAGAATTTTTCTTCCAAAGGAAAAAATTTAGTAGAAAATAAATTACCAAATAAAATTAATGTACAAATCCCTCATACGCACAAGAATAAAGATATTTAAAGTCATTTCATATGATCCAATAACCTCAGTTTTCATTGTTTAAATGTTATCTTACTGTCAAGGACAGGCTGATTAGATGGTTTTGAATAATTAAACTAAACTGAACTGCTTCAAGTGTCCACTTTGTAGTGAATGATATTAAGTATCATGATTACATAGAATAAAATCTGCATGTTTAGTTTAATTCTTCCTAAAAAGATCAAAAGTCCTGTATTTTTATAAAATTTTAAAAATACATTAAAAGTGAAAATTGAAAAAATATTCATAAGCATAAATGTGGCTGTAAATAAAAACCAGCAGTATATATGAGAGACTATTAACAGTGATTAATTAACATGCTAGAATAATAAAGATATTCTTTCCTTTAAAAAGTAAGGTTTTGTAAATTATACATTATGTTTATTCAGACAACATGAACAGGGATGAATGAGGACTGGAAAATGAACATTTCTGTGAAGTTCCTGGGGCAGAAGTGGAGCAGGAAGAGCAAAAATGAGCTGAGTGGGAGTCTCACGCTTTTATCCCAGCACTAAGGAAGTAAAGAGAGGAGTATAAGGCTGGAGGAGACAGGAGCTGGGGGACTCGATGGTGTGTGACTCCCAACTACTGGAATTACAGTACTCTCTGTTTCCCTTTGAGACTGGACCAATATAGTGTACCCAGAGTGGCCTTGAACTCACAGAGATCCATCTACCTCTGCCTCCCAAGAGCTAGGATTAAACGTGTATGCCACCACTGCCTGGCTCTGCACTCTGATCTTTGGGTAAGCTTTATTTGTTGAAGCACAAACAAAATATCACCACACATATTTAATCTAAATAAGCCATTCTGTTGCTTTAGAAGTGTAAAAAGCCCTGCATTAGGTGCCACATTAGGAAAGCTTGAAAAGGAACAGGGTTAAAAATAAAAATAAAACTGGCCTAACATGGCTCATAAATTATAACAAAAGTTTTAAATCTCTGAAATATCTATGCAAGACAAGACTTCTGTGTGATTCACAAGTATCTGCTAACATTCACTTGAAGCTGCTACCTGAAACAAGCTTCTCCAGGAGACTATATGACTGGGCAATCAGGATAGCTTACCAAAGACCACCTAACGCAGTCACCAAAATATTACTGCATATTAGCCTTCCTCTTGGCAATTTAGTTTCATAGACTGATATTTACATATAATGAACCGTTTTAGCTAATAAATATATTTGTAGAAAATACATTTGGAAACTAGAGAGGGCCTGGACTGTGCTTTAGAACAGCAGCCTTTCTTTCACTACATCTAGCTGCCCTCTGATCCCCAGTCCTCTGGGACAGGCTAGCACGCTGACCAGTCATGACTGTGATTGCTTCTCAGCTGAGAGATGGAGAAGGTTAGTAAAAAAGATCTTTCTGTGAGTAACCAGGCAATGATCAGTGAAAGAAGATGAGAAAGAAGTTATAGTAAAAGTATAATTAAAGATAGCAAGAATTAAAAGCAGCATGCCAGGATGCTATGATGTAGACACAACTGTAACAACTGGGTAGTGTCTCTTTTCTTCCTGTTCTGGTGCTAGGGGAGGGATCAGGGATGTGTGTGCACATGTTACAGAAGCACTCTGCAACTGAGCTGCATTTCCTGGGCCCCTATGAAGAACTCTTAAAACTCAAATTATAACAGTGGCACAGGAGGGCAGGGCAAGGAGCCACCGAAGAAGTAAGTAGGTAAATGTTTCCCTTAACAACAGACATGGACTAAAGATGTCAATAAAAAGACAATGCATATACAACCTAATATGTGGTACCTTCAACATGTGGTTGCTATGGTAAGTGAAGTACGTTAGGGAAGGAAAATAACTGTGAACAGGGATCACATACTGTGTCCTCAGCACACAGGAGATATACAGTATCTTTACTAAAATATGGTATTATTGCTGAAGGGCCACCTGTGCTCTTTCAGTCTTAAAACTGGAAAAAATAAGGTCTTTCAAATTTTGTTATTATTATTATTTGAGTTTTCGAGACAGGGTTTCTCTGTTAACACCCATAGCTGTCCTGGAACTAGATCTGCAGACATGTTGACCTTGCACTCACAGAGATCTGGCTGTCTTTGCCTCCTGAGTGCTGGGATTAAAGGTGTGTGTCACCACCGCCTGACTAGGGTGGCTTTTTTTTTTTTTCGGTTTTTCGAAACAGGGTTTTTTTTTGTGTGTAGCTTTGGAGCCTGTCCTAGAACTCACTCTATAGATCAGGCCAGCCTTGAACTCAGAGATCCACCTGCCTCTGCCTCCAGAGTGCTAAGATTAAAGGTGTGTGCCACCACTGCTTGGCTTAGAATTTTTTTTATAACAAAGTGTTAAGGTAAATTGAGCAGGCACAACATAAATTGAGACAGACTGAGATAGACTGATGAACTGAGAAGGCACAAGGGAGTCAGAATCAACAAGGACATCTTTCCAAACTACCCAAGGTTCATTTACTCCTCCACCAGTGGGTTCTTCAACTCTCTGCTGGGAAGAAACTCATTCTGAAACTATTTTACAGGTTCAGTACTAAACATTTAGAGGACAGTAACAGTAGAAAGAAGAAAAAAAAACATTTTACTGAGTCTGGCTTCAAAATATAATAAGTGCTCATCTAAAGAACCAGAGAAACATAATTAAAATGAATGTGACTTACCAGTCATAAAGAAATACAAGGCAGCATGAAAAACAGAAAGAGAGATAACTGCTGATGTGTCAGTTAGCTTCAGAGTTAGGTTAAATGAAGAAAATATTTCCACTTTAGAACCCCCGGCCTCCAGCTCGGCAGTACATTCTTGCAAGGCCGACAGCCATCACCTTGTGTAACAAACAGTGCTCTATCCAACTTAAAGGTATTTGGGCAGCTTAACTAGATTAAGCACTTTTGAGTACCCCTAGAGCAAATTGTTTTACCAGCTTTTCAAATGATTCGCCACTCAATCCAGCTTGTTCACTACTGTTAGATAAACAGAATGGGTTCCCCTACTTTGAAACAACCATTTTTTACATTGTCTATCAACAATTCAGGCTTGTAGGCTTGCTTTAGTCCCAATCTGCCTTTTTAGTCTTGTCACTCCTAGAGTACTTCATAACTAAATGCGCCAGCCGAAGTGTTCATTTTTAGATTGTACTTGTCTATTGCATTTCTTCCTGTTCCTCTTCACTGCATGATGAAACACCACATACTCTTCCACTTCTAGAAGAATCAGTCTAAATACTATTTCTTGAGTAAAAGTCTTTCAGAACCTACTGTACTAATATTATAGGCTCTAGATCCCGACGAAAACCCTTTTGTGACATTTCACTTCAAACACAGAGAACTACAAAGACCACACCAGGCAGGTTTCCAGGAGGTTTGAGTAGGGAGCCTTGGTGTCAGACAGTACAGTGGTCAGCCCTGCTCATACCAAGTGTGGAGAACACCCAGTTCTTATAGCAGTGTCTAGAGGGACTCATATTCCTTAGCTAAAACAACACTCAGAGACCGAGCAGTCTTCTTAGCTTACTAAGCTTTATTTAGAGACCTGTTCTTATGGAGGAAAGAGCCCAGGCAAAGACACATTTTTAAAGTGTACGTACGGGGGAGCCAGATTTTGTCACTGTTCCCACTTCTTTAGCACTCTACTCCATAACCAACACAACCTTTTGCCTGGGGCTTTCTGCCAGTGACAAACTCTTCCACCTATCACCTGTGTTAATTCAGCCAACCTTCCCTGGGTGCCATTCAAGTGAGGAAAACAGAACACAGGGTGGGTGGGCACCCTTTTCTTTGAGACCTTCCCTACACTATCATAGCAAGTCAGCCAAGCCTCATCTGTTACAGCTGTTTGGCACAGAGTTCTAACTGACCAGCACAACATCTGGCAGCTGAACATCTTTCTTTTAGTCCATCACTACACACAGTGATCATCTTGTATCATTGTTTCAAGTATATATATCTTATCTATATGACTTACACTAAGTTTTTGAAAGCAAGGACAGTGACTATCCCTATAAATCCCATAATATCTATGATATATTCCATAACAAACAAGTATTTATGAAAAATATAAATAAATGTATACATCTTAAGCAGTCTTAACCCAAAAATCTGAACTATTTCAATGCTGAAAACTCTTAGCACTGATACAATGCCATGAGTAGGCAATGCCATACGTAAGCTGCAGCAAGTAACAGTCAAAACAATGGTACACTAAAACATGGCAAATTGTTTTCATTTAATTAAGGTGCACATGAAACAAATTTTGAGTTTAGAGTTGGGTCCTAACCTTATGATAGCTCATTTATACAGGCAAATATTTCAAAATCTAAAATACTTTTGAATCTCAAGGGTTTCAGGTAAGAGATACTCATATATAATACCCTTAAAAGGAGAAAGATAGAACAGTGTGAAATGCTAAATACAGTCTACAATTTTCCAAGCTGCCAAATTAAATGTTATGCAGTCTATAAAATTCAAAAGCATTTTATTTTTTTTCAAATATTTTTATGGCTTATTTAACTTTATTCTATGTGCATTGGTGTGAAGGTGTCAGATCCCCTGCAATTGGATCTTCAGACAGTTGTGAGCTACCATGTGGGTGCTGGGAATTGAACCCAGGTCCTCTGGAAGAGCAGTCAGTGCTCTTAACCACTGAGCCATATCTCCAGCCCCCCTCAAAAGCATTTTAAAACACAAATGCAATCACTTTCACCAATAAACCAAAAGGCAGAGACGACTTTGAGAAGAGAGTGCATGTGGGCATCTGGTAAAGATACACGATATCTTCACATAAACACCTTCTTACTTGAGCAGCCTGCAACGATCCCTGTTTCTGCACTCTTAGTCATTTCATCAATGATGTTCATTGTTTTTAACTGGATACTTTTGAAATTACGTAATTACAGAACAATCCAAGCCCATCTCTTAACAAATGCACATAAAAGCAATCAATGATGTTATTGAACACAGTTAAACAAGAAAGATGCCAAGTATAAGTAAAAGCAGGGTAAAAATCAAATGAGGAATAGTCTTTTTAAAGCATAGCACATGTTATCATATCCAATGTAACTCAGAGAATGCAGTGTACTACGATGCTGCAAATCCAAACACAAGCTACCAGTAGAGACAGTCTACACAGAGCAGTGTTTTAACTCATGAAGGCTGCGGCAATGGCGTCTGCTTATTGGTTAAAAGAAATTATACAGCCAAGCTAGATACTATGTCCTAGAACTAGACAGACACAGATCATCACCTTGCGTGTTTCTTCAGTGAAGTAACATGGACACTGTCAGATAAAAACAGGCAACTGTTAAGACACTACTTTACAACTTAAACTTAACATCTAACCACAGAACTGAATGCTTGCTGAGTGAGCTTTCATTCACTGTTCAACTCACAGACATTAACCATCAGTCTGAACAGAACTTTACCATTGAAAACTTATGGTTTCCATATTCTGATTCATCTAGGAAAACATAACAAAAACAAAAGCCTCTGAAGCCTGCCCTTGAGTGCAGTGGGCTGCTCTTCAGCAGCAGGCTTGGGACAGAAATGCTCAAAGTCATTTCGTGCAGCTCTCTTTCAGGTAAAACAGATGACCTATATGCCTAGACAGAGGTCAAGAAACTTCTCTGTAACTAATTCAATCGGTGCACCAATAAACATTAAAAACAGATTGCTGAAATAAAAATATGTGACACAATAAGGAAAGAAATTAAGAAAAAGGTATGAAAAATGTTAATTACAAATTCAAGTTTTGACAGTTGATATTCTTCACCTCTGAGTTATTAATATAATCATAAACATATTACTGTGCAGAATAGACATTGAAATTATGAAGTATTGTCAAATAAGTATCAACATCCAAGCACCTGTCCATACAGTAAGAATTCAGGAACAGTCATGGCCAGAGACAAGTCAATGCGTAAGCGCTTGTCCACAGAACAGGTGTAATGACTGACTTACCTGCCCTTGTTCTCTTTTCCTTTAATTTTACTTTCTTGGCCTTTTCCTCCAGTAGGATCCCACTCTACACAGGAATCTTCAACTTTCAAGTTCAAATGTGATGATGAGTTATCTAAACTGAAGTTAAGAGCTGCCCAAGACAATGTTTAACAAATGTAAGACTTCTCCACTGTCCGGAACACACCTTCCATATTATTTCTTATTCACTGAGCCAACTCTGTACAAAGAGAGAAAACCTCCAATCCCTAACCTTCACACAAAAACCTTTCAATGCTTAGGTTGTAGTCTATAATTCCCACCTATTTTCAATTACTTTCTCTGCATTTCTTATACACTAACCAAGTACAGTGCACTTGCACTGCCCATGCTATCTCTACTTCTACAGAACTCTCAGTCGGCACACAGTAATCAAGATCTCATTTTATTAGAATTATCAGTTGGTTCTCAGTTGATTGTTCTGACTGAATGAAAGGGAGAACTAGTACAAGTATGGAGGAAGAAAAAGCAACATAGTATAAGAAAGGAATTTAATGTAAGAACAGCACAAGTATTCTCTCTGAAGCTTTAATGCATCAACAATTTCACACCTAAACTCTCATTAGTTCTAAACTGATATAAACACGGATATACTGGGGCCGTGACGGTGACATAAGCTGAGGAACTGAGGTAGATGACAGATGTCTTGATTGACAGAGTAGAGGGGAAAAGCATCACTTAATGAAAAAGGTAAACAAAAAATATAAAACAACCTATGCTTTTTAGATTATTTGATGTTTTGGGGAACTATATGTACTGTTCAAAGTCCTTGGAAGTGCTTACTGAGAAAAAAAGCTTCCCTTTCTAAAAACTGAGGAAAAAAATCATTAAAAGAAGTGATTTCACAGCTGTGTAATGCTGTTTCTTCTCTTTGTAGTGCAATTTCCAAACTCTCAGAAGGCATCACGTATAGAGTTACACATTAATCTGCTTCTACTACCTCCTGCCAAAAGTTCATACTTTTGTTAATTATAGATTAAAGAAACGTCCTTTACAACACACCTTTGCTTACAGATACTAGGTGAAATTAGGTAAGGCCTTTTATGAGCCTGTGATCACCAAACAAGAAAGCACATAGAGCCCAATGATTACCCAGTGGATGGAGCAGCCTTTCATCCCTGATTCTGGCAAGAGCAATTCAATTCCAACACACATCATAGCCATTGTTCATTGTTTCACTTATGACACATCTGAACAAAAATCTACTGACTGCACAGCTACAAATGTCACACTACACAAGGACGTCAACCACTCTCTAAAGCTGCGTCTATGCAGAGTAAACAGACGAGTAATTGCAGCTTTTCAGTAAAAAGAAGATAGAATTCTTTATTAGGTAGATACATTGAGACATTTCTAAAGTCAACTGCTTTATGAAAACAGTTATATTCTGTACGTTAGGTATTCGGTTATACAGTAAACAGCATTTATATTTTTGAAAGAAAGAAACCTGGGCTTTACCATGGAGGTGCCATCAATTGCCTATAGCTTACTAAAATCCCAAGGCCATTAGAAAGAAAAATCCTAGGCTATTCCTTAATATTTCTTATGATGCAGTAAAGAGCCATCTGGGTGGCAGGAAAAGGCACTACCCCAAACCACTTGTGATTCAAATCAAATACCACACCATCCAAACACAAGGGCACAGGTTTCCAAAAGTGAGTCATGTCTAGTCTTTTTCTTTCTCTTGACACTAATACTTTATCTGACCTCTCTTAAATCATACATTTTCTCTATGATAACATAGACAATACTCTAAAAGCAAAGAATAGAGAGCGAAGGGTTGAGAAAAGACTTGCTTTCTTGAAGGTAAGATCCTGTGTCTTATACTACAGAGCTAAACCACAGACACTATTGTTTGAAGTTGGAGAGTTTTGTTAACTAGTAATATCATTTATTTTTACATGGAAGGAAAGGATAACATACCTTAAAAATTCTGGTGACAAGACCTTATAATACTCATCACTGACAAATTTTATGCCAGAAGGAATAATGCTACACATACTGAAGGGACCGAAAAAAACAATGCTAAGTGTATACAGTTTTATGGGCCTGAACTATTTAACTGCCATCTCCACTTCCCTCCATTCTCTACTGGTATACTGACTGATATTGGGTAGTCAAAAATAGCAGGAATAAGCCAAGTAACTTACTAAACAATTGTTCAATTGTTTTTTAAAAACCTGGACTTTTTTTTTTTTACAATGTTTGTGTTTCCATTAATAGTCACATCAGTGCTACAAAATAATCCCAGAAACTTTATGATCCATAGTCACATAAGAAATAATTTTAGAATCATGGTTCCTGGGTTTCAGGGTTGTACTTTAACCTAGGCTATCCCTGGGGAATTACTTCTATGAAACCCCAGAGACTGAAATCAGCTTAGTCTTTCTCTAAGAACCCCAAGACCAATCAAGAGTATGCTTGGTAAAATCCAGACACTGCTAAAGGAGCAGCTATCAGACTCCCAGGAGGCCATAAGCCTACTAGTTTCCAACTTAAATTTTCATAAAATTTACAGCTTGTCACAGTTAGATCCAGGTTTGTTCACAAGGAACACCAACAACCCAAAGATCTGCTGCTCCTTGGAGTTCATAATTACAGTAACTCACTCTTTCCTGACAATGGGCAGAAGTAGATCAAGTCACATAGAAAAGATTATCTGCCTGGAAATTTTACAAGGCTTTGAAATATAGAAACCTTTTTAAAAAACAGTAATATCTCATTTTAATAATAAATAATTCAAAGCAATTACATTTCTTCACTAAGCTATGTATAATTCTCAAGTAAAATTATTTGCTAATTCATATTACTTCAACTGGGAATTTCCCTAGGCTTTATGCCACAGACATTACTGAGTTTGTATCATCAGAAACTTACAGACCTTGAAGGCCCAAGCACTTGCCTACCATGCACAGGGCCTGGGGTCAAGTTATAGGACTTAACTTTATTGTGGTACATGATTATCACCTAGATCATGTACTAGCATGTATATCTACTCAACTGCATCATAAATAAACTAGAAGTCAGTGGGTGCTACAAGTCTCAAATACAGATTATAATCTAGAGTCTAATTCAGCAAGAAATCTCAGGCAGTGATCACCTCACAAGTGGGGAGCTCTGGAAGAGTGGCTTTCAAATTGGCAAATACCTAAACGTTCTTCCGTGTTACAAAAGGGGACATTCATAAATCTAAACTTCTCTGAGAGAACAGAACCTGGGTTAGAAGCCTCCAATAAAGAATGCCTAGGACCTAGAACAGATTCCTATACACATCTAGAGCAGCTCTAGGGACGGAGGTAAATACATATTTCAATTTTCCTCTTGTCATTTGCAGTATGGATAGCAGTAATGTCTAGCAGTGATCTCTCAAAATGATCTTAATGACCAAATGATTAATTTTTCATTATTATGACATATGTGTGTATGCTATATAAATATTAATAAACTGTATAAATGGTAGTAACTGCAAGAAAATTTGGGAAAAATAGAGAGAATGTCTTGTTGCTGATTCATAATTAATTCTCTGAAAATTACAGACCACTTCAGCAATGCTTACCTATTTACTCTAACCCAAACTGTGAACTAAACACCCAGAGGCAAGTATAACATCACCACTCAGGACAGTGTGATGGCTTAGCAGGTAAAGGCACAAGTTATCAAGACTGCTGACCTGAATTCGATCCCTGAAACCTACACAGTGACTCCTACAAGTTGTTCTTCAACGTGCATGCATGCAATGCCCCCCACATATGCACACAAAATAAATAGAAATCTAATTTAAAATTAAGAAGAAACCAAATAAATAAAAATAAATGAAAGAAATACTGAAAAATACTATCATCTGTCTATTTTGCCCACAAGAATATAATTATAAGGGAAAAATCTACTATAAACCACTACTACTCTAGTCCTGTTTTCCTGCCTTGTATTTCCCACATTGGAAAAGCCAGAGGTAGGTGGTAGGAAGAAATCCAACCACACATGAAAAAGACCCTGACAAAGTCTCAAATAACTTCTAACGGCAAATTCTCTCGTCTGTTGTGCAAATGGCTGCCAGCCTTACCTTTGGTCTCTAGGGTCACTGGATCGGAATACTCTCCAGCCACAGCCTTGTTGCAAGCACGCACTCTGAAATTCATATACTTTGAATCAAATTTTAAGCCTAAAAAATGAAAGTTTTTAAGTCATAAAAAGTAAGGAATTCCTTCCCACATGTGTGAGTGTGCATCATCAAGCAGACATTTTCCTTCTCAGAAAGCTCTTTACTTGAGAAGAGCATAGACTTATGGTAAATGGATGGTAATGACTGAAAATCAGAATAATGGCTTACTTAATATCTTCTTCAAAATAAATAAACTATACAATTACCAACAGTTTCAACACAGTGGTAACTAAAACAGCACCCTCTCAGATTTCGTTAGAAGTGGTGCTGTGCTGGGTGCTGCTCCCTACCATGCAGGTGTGCTGTTAGCCATGTGCTGTATGCACTTGGCGTCTACTGTACACAACACCAGCCCCTGGGAAGGAGCTAGCGCTCAACACGACAGCTCCTAATGTATCCCGCTCTGCACAGGACGCACCAAAGAGCCCAGCTAATATTCTGCCATTCAAAGCATCAGAAGTCCTCATATACTAAGATACCTTTGAAGAAGCATTCAAAAAGCCAACTCAAAAAGAAACCTTAGTTAAGTCCCAATTCTGTGTTAACATGGAGATAATCAATCCTGTGGCAGTGAAAACAATGGGGTTCACAGCATCCCTGAAATGTGGAGGTTTGAGTACAACAAACAGTTTTTTACTTAGTTAAAAAAAAAATTAAAATTAAAGATTAGCTGGGCATGGTGGCACAGGCCCTAATCTTAGCTCAGGAGGCAGAGTTCAAGATTGGCCTGGTTCATAGTGAGGTATAGGCCAGCCAGGGCTACACAGTGAGTCTGTCTAAAAAAAAAAGAAAAATAGATTACTTTGTTTCTATATTATTCTAAATACTGTTTCTATAGTATTCTTTTATATTTGCTTTACATACACTATTTAGCAGGTTGCAGATTATTAGTAATTAAAAGTTTTACTGATATTTTAACAAAAAATTAATTCATATAATAAATATCTATATAAATCAGTTTGGATAATAGAACTTGATTTTATCATTTAAAATAAAATATTTTTATAACACTGATCTTCTAAGGATTAGACTCAGGATACCTGCTAACGTGTATTCAGTACCCTTGATGTTATCAATCATTTCCCAGCACCGCTCGTCCTTCACACGCGGGAGCCCATCGAAGTTTGTCTTCCTGTATTCCATCATGAAATGGTCAATCTTACTGTCTTCTTCAGGCATTCTCCACGCTACCGTGACAGAATTGTCAGCCACCAGACACTCTACTGGATCTATCTCTGGAGCTTTGGGGACTGCAGAGAAGAAAAGGGGGCAGGGGATATCATTCCTCATATATTATAACACTAATCAAATATTTATGCTTGGCATTCAATCTTTGCTATTTCCTCTTTTTAGATATTCAAAAACGAATTAGGCTAAGAGAAAGAATAATATACAAATTCAAATTTTTTCTAAAACCTCTTTCATTGCCAGAATATAAAAGTTTGCATTTCAAAGTTTGCTCAAATACTCTTGGTTTATTAAAATTTTGAATGGCAACAGGTAAATTCCAAACATCTATCCATGTTAAAAATAATCTAGAATGACTTGTTACTTCAAAGCATATTTTAAATCTATAATTTTAAATGTTGTTTGATACAAAGTAAATCAGTATTGGCAACCTTTGAATATAATGATTAAATTAATTAAAAATTGTTTTCTGTGCAGTTTTAAGTGAGTAGGCAAATAGAGAACAGTTGGTTACCAGGTATGAACAAATATATTAAGTTAAATAACAGGACTAGCTTCTGATATTCCAAAGCAGAGGAAAATGGCTACACTTGAATAGTTGACAATAATTTATTATATAAAATAGTGACATTTTTAATGCTCCCAACACAAATGTTTGGGGTGATATAATGACAAACAATTTGATTATGGCTTTTTGATTTAATTGCACATCAAAATATCACACTAGACTCCAACAAGTTTCACAAGCCTTAAAAAATAATTTTAACATATTAAACAAAACTGAATCTCTCATTTCTCAAACATATTTAGGAGTTGTCAACTCCCAAGAGCTTTACAATATATTAAAACAAATGAATTCAATGAGCTATAAATAACATGTATGACTGTAAAGTGATTTATTTTCCATAAGAGAGATTTCATAGCTTTGCAACACTGTATAAATAGCACAGATGTGTCTTGTCTGAAATCTGCATGTACTATATTGATATCATATGCAAATTATGTTGATTTTAAAAAAAGAGAATTAAAAAATATTTCTCTTGGGCACGGAGGTACATGCCTTTAGTCCCAGCACTTGGGAGTCTGAGTTGGAGGTCATCCTGGTCCACACAGTGAATTCTACAGGCAGATAAGGCTACTACACAATGAGTTCAAAACAAAATTTATTCCTGGTGTGCAAAGCTAGATCAACATTTAAAATTGATGAATATATTCAATAACATTAATAAAGATATGATCATTTAGTAAATAAAAATTATAATGACAATATGCAATACTCATGATAAGAAATTTTAACAAAGAAGGAGTAAGAAACTTAACTAAACAAGAATATTTCCAGAGGGTTGGAGAGAGGGCTCAGTGGTTAAGAGCAGTTATTGCTCTTGAAGACAACCTAGGTTTTATTTCCAGGCCCCACATGGCAGCTCTCAACTGCCTATAACTCCAGTTCCAGGGGATCTGATACCCTCTTCTGGCCTCTGTGGGTGCCAGGCACACACATAGTGCACATATATAGGTGCAGGCAAAACACTAATACACATATAATGAGTAAATAAAATAAAATATTTTCCAACCTGTTCATATTAGTGTATACCTGTAACCCCAGCTCTTGGTAGGCTGGGGCCAGAGGATTCTCAAAAGCAAGCAAATAACAACAAAATTAAGGGGAAGAAAAGGAACATCTTCAAAAAAGACTAGAGTTAACAGCATATTTATCAGTGAGAAACATAGGACCTTACCTTAAGACTGCAAAACTAGGGTGAAGATCTTCCCCTCTTATTATTGCTACTCAACATTTTACCGTAAGTGTATCGAAACCCAGCAAGACAAGAAAATAAAGTAACTAACACACACAAACTCAATAAAAACAAAATTTTCTTTGCAGATGAAATAACCAAAGGGGAAAAAACCTAAACTAAACAAATATTAGAAGTGTCAGGAGGCCACAGAATCACTGCGGGGTGTGAGGAATGAGTACATGGAGCAAAAGAGAATTTAACCACATGAACTCATTCCTTGTGGAAATTCTGCTTGGCAATGTAGTAACAAATGACCCCCATCAAAGCCCAGAGAATGGTGCAGTATCAGCAGAGAAGCCCAATACAAAGTACAGACATCAGTTAAGAAGAAACTGTCAAGCCAGGCATGGTAGCACACACTGTTAGTATCAGCAAGCAGGAGGTAAAGGCAGTCAGATCTCTGTGAGGTAGAGGCTAGCCTTGTCTACATAGTTCATGGAAGTCAGAGCTATATAACAAGCCGCCAACTTAAAAATAACAACAACAAAACCTACATACACAAAAATAAACCATCAGCATTGGCCTGTCAATTGTTTTTAATGTACCTTATCATTCAAGATGGTAATAATAGGGGAAATTGTAGAGGAAGAAATAGGTTTCAAAATGCTAGCTCTAGCATTTGCCTAATTTTCTATAAATTTACAACTATTATAAAAAAACCCAAAATGCTAATTTTTATAATTACAGCAGTGCTGAGGAAGACAGCTCAGTCAGTAAAGTTACCACAAGGACCTGAGTTTCATGCTCAGAACTATGTACAAAGCCAGGCACTGTACTAGTACACTTGTATACTCAGCTCTGGGGATGCAGGAGCTTGATTATCAACTAGACTATTCCAATCAATAAGTTCCAGACTGGTATGTTTTGGAATATTTATTTATACTATAAAGATGTGTCCTTGCCTAAGGCATCTTCTGATTAGTTTAATAAAGAGCTAAGCAGGAGAGATTAGGTGGGACTGCTAGGGGAGAGGATGCCGGGAAAAAGAGAGGCAGGGAGATGCCAGAGAGTTGCAGAACAATCCAGACACACTCCAGAGAAGAGGTAACTGAGCCATGTGGCAACACATACATTAATAAAAGCAGGTCAGTTAAGTTATAAGAGCTAGCTGGGAGCAAGCTTAGGCTAAGGCCAGGCCTTTCGTAATTAGTAATAAGTCCTCGTGTCAAAGTATTACTGCACTGGTGGGAGACCCCATCTTAGAAAACATGGCGGTCAGTCCTGAAGAATAACACCTGAACGTACACATGTTCAGAAGAAGGCAACAGAGGTACATACAAAAGAAAAAAAAACAAATGGAATTGGGAATTAACCAAGTCAGTACCTCAGTAAAATAACAATAAGCTGAAAGGAGGGGAGGTGACCAAGTTCTAATGAATATGAGACTGCCCCAAATTTCATTTTCTGTGTAAATAACCATATGAACAATTCTTATATGCTACATCTTAGTAAGACAAATTGATCTCGTCACTGCCATCAGGGTTTGTCCTGTGAAATGTAGCAGATGCTCGTCTCTACTGCTGAGAATGATGCAGGCTACCCAGTGTCAGAGAACAGACCACATATGCCCCCAATGCCCTATAACCTACATCTCAGGTCAGCTGACATCTCACGAAAAGTCTATTAGCAGGAAGAGTCTTCTATCTTGTGAAACAAAGTAAACTACTAAAAACTGGGGACAAAGGGAAGAGAGATTCAAGCAGTGACACTTGGGAGGAAAAATAATTTAAGTGGTGTAAGAGTGATCTACTGAGTTGAATTCCTTTACAGTCAATGATTTTAAGATTTATTTTATGTGCATGAGTATTTTGGCAGTGTTTATTTACATACACCATGTGCACATGTGCAGAGATCAGAAAGGCACTGGATTCCCAGAACTGGAATGAGCTATCATGTGGATACCTGAAATCAAATCAAGTCCTCTGAGAAACAAAGTCCTCTTTACTGTTGACCAGTTTCTCCAGGCCTGCATTAAATTACTGATAGGGAAGGATTTATGATTGACACTTTGTCAACTCTTTTCTATTTGTCTTGCAGTTCTTCTGTTTCTTCTTATTTTCTTCCTTTCTCCATTAAAAAAAAGAGTACTTTGATCAGGTTCCATTTCCTTTTTCTTTATTTCTACTATTGCTAGGATTTGGGGGAAGTGTGGTTACCATGTCACTTACATAAAACACCGTGGTATTATCATACATATATATTGGTTTTCATTCATGTTTACTGATTCATAAACACTTTATCAAAGCAAGCTAGAGAAACTCAGAGAATACGTTATAATTCCTTTCTAGTCAGAGAGGTCCCAGAGGAAGCAATGCTAAAGAATCTAAAGAGGAAATCTTGTGGATTTCCCTCACCAACTCCATTGGTAATCAGACGTATGCAATGAAGTCTCCATAAGGACCAAAATGACTACCTTCAGAGAACTTCTGGGAAGCTAAATGTTACACTAAGGAGAAAGATAAATGAGAACTCATCCAGACAAAATCCCACAAGGGAAGAATCTCCTGCACCTGGGCTCCTTCTAAACTTCACCCTACTATCTCTTCATTGAACTATTTACTTGTACCTTTTGAAATAGCCTTTGTAATAAACTGGCAAATGTAAGAACAGCACTTCTCTGAGCTTTGTGAGCCACTGCACCAAGTCAATGAAACCTGAGCAGTGGGTTGTGGGGATTTCAATTTTAATTTTATTAATTTTTTATTTAATTAAAATATAATCACATCATTTCCCTCTTTCCTTTTATCCCTCTAATCCCTCCCATGTACCCCACACTCCATTGCTCACTTTCAAAATCATGGCTTCTTTCTCATTGTTACACACATACACAGCTAGATATACAAATCCAACCTGCCCAGCCCATTTAGTGTTACTCAAATGCTTGAGTATTTAAGGACTGACCATTTGATACTGAATAACCAATAAGGGGCCTCACCCTTTGGAGAAAGCTGATTCTCCCTCTCAGCAGAATCTCAATTTTCTTAACAGCTAACAGGTTCTGGAGGTCTCAGATTTGCAACTGGGCCTACAGCAGAAATTTTGGGGACTGAACTTAGAACCTGTGGATCTGGTGTTACCTTCAAAAAGCGCGAGGAGTGAATCCAATCAAGAAAATTAGATGTGTGTCTGTTACAGAAGTGACTGTTTGCTTGATTGCAGAGAGAAATACACAGATCTATATGCAGCAGTTAAAAGGAAGGTCAGAAGGGAAATAGGAGGAGAGAAAGGGAGGGGGAGGAGAACTTGAGTGAACGGGACAGTTG